ATTTTTGGTATAGAACATAAATGGTGTAAGTTCTCTGAAGTCTTGCAGAGAACAGTTTTCGTCACCTCTCCGATAAATCACACAGGGGGATATCTGCCAAAGAGGGCATCAAGATGGTGAGCTGCTCTATTTTTAGCCAAAGAAGTCCTGTCCTGTTCCAAATTCCAGCACCGCCCAGCCAGCTGTCTGGAACACTCCCTCTTTATAAGAGGCGTGGATCCGGAGCACTGGTTTGGCACAAGACTACCAAGCAGGACATGTAAGCCACATTTAATAGCCAGTAAGTATTAATGTTGAATTAAGTCTTTCTTGTGTGTCTGACCTGGAAGTAAACAAATCACAACAAATTTTGCCATAAAGAATAACTTTTATTGTAACTTAGGAGTGCTTGGAAATAAAAACAGGTTTCTGGTTGTTTTTCATGGTGAACCTATAGCAGCAACTGCAGCAGCAGAACATTCCCTGAGTGAAAAACTAATTCTTGTACACTTTGAATATATCTTATTCCATGAATCTAGGTATCCAGGGCTGCTCACAGCTTTGCCTCTTGTGAGATTTAACGAAGATGATGATCTTAAAATGGTTTTGCTACAAGAAACTTCCCCTACTTGGAATATACCTGTTGTCTTCCCCTGAGGCCTCACACTGCCACTCTGAAGAATAAAATGATAGATCCAGAGGGTTTACCACAGATCTTGGGGAGGCAACGCAGGTGAGATGCTGGAAAACTATGTGAAAAAAATGAAAACCATTGAACTCTACAGTTAAACAGAAGTTTGGTTAGTCTATAAAACAACAAATATAAATACATCTTTTAGTCATGCTTGAATGACAGTAGAAGGACTGGTGACTGGTGACAGAACCCGACTGAAGATCAGTGGGTGTCTGGAGGCATATGTCGTGCTTTTTTCTGACTAACCTTTGCCGGTTATCAGCCTGATGAGATCTGCTCACGTTTCAGGTTTGAGCGGCATGCTGCTATTTCCATGTTCACGTTTTCTTAAACCCACACGTGACAAATTAGTGTTGAGAGTACTAATATGTGATCTATTGACACCGTTTTATGGTCACTTCCAGAAATATAATTTTTGCCATTCATATGTTTGAAGATTAGGTCACGAGTCTTTGTCTGAAGACTTATCTTGATCTTATTTCTTTGACTGGAAGGAAGGGGCAAAGTATCTGTGTTCATGTACTGACATATTTTCCTGGAAAATAAAATTGAGGTTAAAATGTAATAGCTTAACTGATCATAGATCGATCATAAGATGACCTACTTCTGGTCTGTTTATGTTTAATTCTTTACAGTTCACTGATCAAAGATTTTAAGCATGTAAGTAAAATTCTGTTAGGGAACTCCATAAAAGTAGGACAAGCTTATACTTTTTACATTTATTTTTTTTTTAAATCAAAGAATATCTTTGACTTCCCCCTTGACCTAAAAAAGCTTTCTATTTGATAAAAATTAAAATAGACTTTAATTAATAAATTCAACATTCAATGTCCTCATGGAGAAAAATATCTCTTGATATATTTCTTTTAATGTATTTTTCATCATGAGAAGAGTCCATGTTTTTTTAACAGACGTAAAGAAAAAAAAAAGCTCTATCATTTTGGGCGTTAGTCCGAAACCCAGAAGCCATCAGACAGGTTTTCCCTCATATTTCCACATTAAAACTCATCAGAATACATTACATATAAACAAATGAAGGTGGTGGATGGAGCCTTTTTAATGGAAAAATATCAGCTCCCAATGCAAGGTAATTTGTCTTTCTGGTATGACTTTGATGTTATTACAAAACTATAAAGATGATAGTTTCTATATAAAAGAGGAAAATTCTACTTTCTGATATTAAGCGGGAGCTCACACATAAAAGGCTAAAATAAAAAAATAAATCACAGAACACCGAACAAGCCTTTTCAAAGACCATAAAGGCTCTGCAGTGTCTGTCATGTAGTAATATATCTTTACGGTTAATAAAATACACACTTATGTGTTGTATTTAAGAGCAAAGTCTTGTAAAGTCACTTTTTAAAAAGGATTCAGTTCTTCACACTTGCACGTATTAATGAGGCCATCATAAATATTTCTGTCATTCTTTCATTGCCACGATCACAACTGTTCACATGGCTCAGAGCCCTCACCCACACACACAGGGTGACATTTGACAGGTGCTTATCTCGTATGTCACTGCCTCTCTTTCCTTAAATGGACGTCCTGGCTGTCCATGTGAGTTTTCCATGGCTGCAGGGGACGTAGGAGCAAATGCCACCCTGGTTCTCACCTTACTGGGTGGTGTTACAGGGGACTGGTCCTTGAGTCAGACCTGGCTGTGGAGCTTCAAGTGGGTGTGTTGCAATTAGAAATTAGATGTACATTTGTTAAATTTGTTCCCCTGACACCACAGACACTTATAGCCTAAATATACACCAGCAGAACAGCTATATTCTGCTTGTGGCCAACCAATGGTATGTAAAGACTCTCAGAGATGTATCACAAGACCCTGAACTCCCCCTAACACACCCTCTGTAGTCCTGGGACTGAGCCAGGAGCTCTTTTCCCATAAAGTAACACAGCAGGAGGTGAACTGTGTGATCAGATTCACAGAAAAATACTGAAAACTTCCTTTGGTTAAAAATTTAGGAACACATTTGTCCTCTTGGCCTGTCATTTGTTTTTCTGAACAAAAAAACGATTTCGTAGTGTCATCTGCCGGGAAACAGTCCCTGTGATAGCCGCATTGTTCACTTGATTTTTGATATGGTAATATCAAATAAAAAGTGAAAACACACTGCTCCGTGTCTTGCCTTATTTCTGTGCAGACACTATTGGCTGAGGGATGTGCAATGTGGGTGACTCTCACGCCTTAGCAGAGGTGAAACCCCACCAGTGAAAAGCACGTCCACTTTCACTCATTTTTTACTTGAAGCAGACATCAGAAATTGGGCAAATTGTAGGTTTGTTGCCCTTTTGTTGGTGGTTCAGCAGATGAGGAGAAATAGAGGTTTTGTTTTATATTAATTAAACATTCAACGCCAATCAAAATGGATAATTTAAATGAATTATGTCTTAATCAGATGGGGTTATTTATGATCTCCAAGACACACAGTATAGTAATTTAGGTTTATAGCTTTTTACATATTTTTATTTAAACAAACATGGCAATTTAAATCTGATATATTGTGCAAGTACCTTGTTTTCACATTAACAGGTTAGGACGGTCACTTCAAGGGTATCGAGGTTGGTACCCTTTTGTTGGTGGTTCAGCAGATGAGGACAAATAGAGGTTTTTGTTTTATATGACAACATGAGAATGATACAGCGAAAAGAAAAAGAGAGCTGTGCAATGTAACAATCAACAACTGAATTCAATCAGTAATTTGATTAGACTTTGAGAACATCCCAGAGATTTTTTAATCAATAAACATGGGGAAGGTCCACCATTATGTCGAATTATGTAGTGCATACGGAAAGTCGGAGAAAAAAGTTTTTGAGTTTTTGCTTGTATATGTGTATATGTAGCGCTGAATGCTTCTGAGCTTCACAGCATTAAAAGCAGCCATGATTCTGTGTGTGAAACCATTGAATAAGCTCATGAATAAAATCAAAACAACTATAAGGGTGTAGTACCTTCCTTGCATTTAGTTTGATTTTGAAACTTGACCGGACAAGAAAAATATTCACTCATAGGCTTGAAACTGTTTAAAATCAGTTATGCTGCATATTCAGAGCCAAAATATGAGAGAGCCAATATGGCTTTCTCACACTGCTTATGTCCCTGTCATGTGGGCCACTGATCACTGATGACAACATGTGGAGGGCAACATTAATGCAACAGACTGATGATACTACTTTATGCAAAGTTAAACTGCTGTAACCATAAACCTAGGCTGTAAAAAACGGTTTCCCTATTGCTTAAACATGGTGTTTGATGGGGAAAAGTTGTTTTGATGCTCGTCGCTTAGTGCTGTTCTGTGATGTCTGGTATGATTAATTGTGTTTATTGGATGGAAAAGATTTCAGCAAGCAAATCTTTACTCTGAAACGCTGATAATCCAGAAACAAACTTAAGAAAGCACAGTGACATGACTTTCATGGGTGTTTTTGTTCTTGATTGTGTAAATCTATGAAGCTTTATGGGAATTAGCTGTTTAGTTGTTTTGTCTGTATTGTCTGTGGAGTCACAGTAAAGAAGAAGTTTAACTAAGTCACTTCTTTTTCCTCCCTAAAATTATCAAGTTGCAGTTCTTCTAAAGTAATATTAGTCATTTGAAATAAAAAAAAGTCATTTGGAAGAACTGTTCTTTCACTGTTTTTACTACAGTATGACAAAAAATCTTATCTTGTTATAAGGAGACCTACAGAGGAGCGGTAAGATGTTATCATTCACTCTCAGTTTGCACACTGTAAAACATCAAGTTTATGATGTTTCTTGTGAACAAAAATGGGTGTGAATTTTTATTGAGCCCCAGTAGGAAGAAAAACAGGAAACAATGACTGGATTCAGATGTTTCTTTGAGTTGTAAAATGCAAATCCCTCCTCGAGTGGACAATACATTGTCACATAGAGCAAGATCAGAGTGTTGATCAGTTACTGGTGTTACAAACACTGGGAAGACCAGAGGTGGATTATCTTAGAAAAAGTTACACAGGATTATACAAAACACAACACCTTTGCCGGTAATTGTCCATAAGGTACATGATTGTCTATTTACAAATCAGACTAAAGGTATCGAAAGGATGTTACACATTTTCTCAATATTATATTTACAAGTCTATACACAATCCGCTGTCGGGCCGTCCTGCTGTAGAAACAGAGAAGGAGAGTAAGGTTACTCACGTTTGCTTACAATTATACATGATTTCAAGAGAATTTCTGGGACAGAACAACTTATTTTTACCTATAAGGTGTTCAGCATTGAGTTTTGAACACTTTCCATAACTTGGTTGTAGATATCTTCCTTCGTTGTCATTCCGTCAAGATACTCTGTGCACAAAAAGGCAATTTAGAGCTTAACGTTGGTAGATATGTCACTGACATATCTTTATTCATTATTCACTATTACTTCTTTATTACTTCATTATTTTACACACCTATTCTGCTGCAGTTGTTGTCCATTTCTTTCCTATGCCTCAAGTACATGGGCCAGACGTGGCCATCGAACAGGCCGGGGGGGTCGGGGACTGTGTATGTTCTTGTACTGTTGAGACAGAGCCAATCAAAACTGATTAAAGCGTCTCCTGACTCATTTTGAAGTTGCTGAAAGTTAACCATTGAGCTTGTTACCTTCTTCTCCTTTTGCACTCCTCATAAGGAATGGAAATGTAGAAACATTTGTCATAGGTGTCAATCAGAGGCCTGCAGTGGAGAATCAGAACTATGATCAGTGAGAGGCTGCAGAGGTTAAGGGGTCAGTGCAGAAAAGTGAGTATGGTGACCTACTTGTAGTTGTAGATCAGGAAGCCCTCCACGATAAGAATATGAATCCCATTTTCTCCTGAGTCGGATTCTTCTGCTTCGGGTGAGAGCGTCACACCGTGTGAGCGTGCAAACTTGACTGGGTTTTCCTGCCAGCCTTTCACAGTATTGACCATTGCCTCCATGTCCAGAGCGGTGATCACTGATGCAAAACAAGGAGAGAAAAGAGAGGAGCAGACTTTAATAAACATTAAGATTAACTCTTCTCACCAATGTGCTGTTCACACATTAGTCATGATTAGTGAATGTGTGTAGCATTCACAAAAATTTGAAAGAATTTCAGAAAGTTTAGGATTGATTTGGTTACCATACTAAAGAAATGTGCAGGAAAGAAAAAGTACATTACTGCAGGGTTTTCCTATGCGAAATCCATTCTTACCATCCCACTGTCTAAAGCCGTCCTCCCCGACTTCTATTTGATCGGGTTTCTGAAATAACAGTCACCAATAAAACATTGCTGCAACCTAGTAACCAATCGTAGCTGGTCACACCTGGACAGGACAAGTCAAGGACTCCTCTCCACCAAAAGCGGACGCGGCGTGAAATTTATCGCGGGTTCAATAGGTTCCCTCGACGTTACCATTCTTAACTTAACACTTTCAGCTGTGCCAACCTGTCTTCTTTTACCCTGTTTAAGGGCTTTGCACGTGAGTGGGAATGACCTTTGTCACCTCTTTTAGTTCATTTTAGCTTCATAAGCTTCAGATAAATGTTCTTCAAAAACAAAATAAACGCGCATGCTTTTGAAAAAATGTTTTTTGGTGCAAATTAGTAACAAAATTAGAGGGCAAAACGTTTCGTAACATCTTGAAAAGATGTTATCTCCGGACGTCTTTTAAGCAAAATATGTCTGACTTTAAGTGGGGATGCTCAGCCCTTTCATTGGCTGTCCAGGACACAATCAGCCAGATATGTTACTAGGCTGCTGCGATGGCAGGACATCTGCAGGTCAGACTGGTGATTTCTTAATTCTTAGTATAAGATCTCTTAAAAGGCAACTTTAATATAGCAAATGAAATAGGTGAAAATTAAAGCTTGCTAAAAGTTAAAACACTGACTGTAGCTATGAAGTTAAAATTTCTGACTTAAAGAAGGGAGACTTAATCTTACCTTGAAAAAGTCATCCTGATGCACCACGCAACAATTGGGCAATGTCTTTAGTAGTCTGTTTGTCAAAGTGGTCTTCCCACCGTTGGTCACTCTGAATTTAAAGTCACATAGAAGTAGGTTATGTCCCATGTTTTTAAAGAAAATCCATTAACAAACAGCTGAGAAAGTAGATAGATTGAACTTACCCTCCAATGCCAATGATGAACTTCATTTCTTCCTTTTTGGATGTATTGGTCACTGCTTGAATTCAGTAGGTAAAGGCAGGGAACCCAGCCAGAACAGTCTGTCAAAAGGCTACCACTAAAGTGCTTTCCTTCTCCTCCACCACAGATGTTCCCCCCTTTTACTACTTCATTGATAGACAATCTCTTCGCGTGGCATATAAAGGATGTGAGTGCAGCGTCACAATCCACCAAACCAATCACCTCCCTTTCCCACCGGCCAATGAGCCGTTACTCCATAGCCAACAGCACCAATGACATAAGCGAGACTTATGCCGCACAGTTGCATGAAAGTAGATCCCCAATTTTGCACCTGCTCTAGGGGGTCAACCACATGCTATTGAAATCTCACATTCTACAGAGTTCTTGGACACACGTCCTAATGAATGGCAGAGAAGCTGAGAGGTGGATTCTGCAAAAAGCCAACCGAATCCTTACTTCGGAAGGAACCAAAGATCTATGCAATGCGTCAGAGAGGATGATGATGTGGGCTAAATTCCACATCCATAGTCTTGCAGTCTGCAAGACTCAGTTTAGGGTCATTTTTCTAGTTATCAAAAAGGGGATTTATCCTTGATAGCACACATTGTAGGAAGAGCGTCCAACCCGTCATAATGCAGTAAATAAACAAAACCTAATTCCTTACATAGTGAATGTTCTTGGATATCTGTCTCACACCATACAGCTTTGCTTAGACAGATCTGGGCAAGCACAAACTGGGAGCTCTATATTTAGTTGACAGTGTCTGACTGCTGCGTCACACATATTTCTGATGCAACTATCTGAAGTACACGGCAGCCCGCCATCTGACCACAGCCTTTCAAAAGAACAATAAAACACCTTTTTTTTATTAGCACACGCACCTGCTGCTTATCAGGCTTTATTGTTACATCCCATCAGTTGTTTGCAGATTTATTTGCACACAGTAAATAACAGCATGTGAAGAAATAATTTTACTACTGCTCTTATCGCTTGAGTTATGAAGGTGTGAAGGTAGTGAACTTTGAGTGCCAGCTTGTGGAGCACTTTGTGTCATGTTTCATTGGCAGGACAAACTCAGTGGAAAAGTGATGCCTGCTGACACAAAGTGATTAATGGAGTGTATGTCCATAAACAGAAAAAAAACCCATACAGACTCAAACTGGCTTCAGGGGGCCCAACCATGTGGTCAAACACGAGAAGCACTCACTTGTTCCCTCCTGGTCACAAGACAAACACATTTATTCTATATCAAATTTATCAAAGGTTAGATCTGACTTTTTAAACGCAATTTTAGTGACCAATAACAGATTACTTACACTGTTCGATTTAAAGAAAACGTTGAAAGGCTTGATATTATTTTGTGTGCGTGTGTGTTATGAAAGAATTCTGCCAGAATCTTCCCACAATAAGAATAAAAAAGACAGCAAACAGAGGTTGATTAATCTGTGAGCAAAATAAGGTGAGTTAAAATGTTGAAATGGAATTTTGTGCAACCAAAAGGGCATTACATAACTCAACAGAGAACGTTGCTGTAAGTGTAACTGAAGACTGTTGTGAAAATATTTTCCATGTAACGAATATATAAAATTGTTCTCTTACATTTAGAGATGAACTGGGGTTTTATTTTAAAGCTAAGTCAGCATATATATGAATGTAGGCGAGCTCTTAACGTGGACATGACAGAAGGACAGTTTCCTTTAATCTACACTGAATCCTGAAAAGTAAGAAAAATGGTCCATGCATGCCAAATAAGCCCAAAGTGTTCCTTTAAAATGAAGCAAATTAAACATTTAATGTAAATTAAAATGGTTGATTTAAATGAATAACATATTAATCAGATGGGGTCATTTACGAGATATATATATAAACTTAGATATTGTGCTAGTACCTTGTTTTCACATTAACAGGTTAGGACGGTCACTTCAAGGGTATCAAGCCCAGATGACACACGCAACGAGCAGAACAGTCAGCTGACACAAAGAGCATCAACTGACACATTCATAGATCAGCCCCCCCCCCCCCCCCCCCCCCCCCTAACTCCCTGAAGCATTCTGGACCAAAGTGGAACAAGAGGCACACCGTCCCGTTTGAGTTAAGATTCCGGTTAAAAACGATGAAAAGATTAATTTCAGTTTAACAATTTATTCTTTCTTTGAAGTATTTTTTTTTTACAAACATTAAATGGCACATTTTCATAAATAACACTTAAAGAAATAATCGGCCTCTTTTTAAATATACTCCACATTTGCTTTCTATTTTGTAAAAGTACTATATATGTATATGACAAAAAACTTTACCAAATGAGGGAAGAATACAAACAAGCATGCCACCTGCATACTCAACTCTGGAAAACTTTGAAACTGTAAAAACACTTTTGCATCAGTGACATTTACCATACATTTGAGAAAACAATGTCATTGCACATATGATTTCTGTAAACATCCATGACACCAAATGCAACCCATGCCATTTATGTGCAAACACCCCTTTTGAAAATATATTACAAATTTGTACATGTGCTAAACTTTTATGTTTCGTTAGAAATATTTGAAGTCATGCTGCAGAATAGACCTTAATTTATCATGCAGGAAGCAGACACTTTTCAACTGGAGCTGGTGAAGATGATCTTTCAGTTGTAAGAAGCAAAAACTGATCAATAGAGGTGTTGAGAAAGGATTGTCCTGCAGCTTATAGATCCCTTCAGGGGATTTTGTCCTGTGCACGAGGCTTGCGATGCTGGTTCCTATTGTAATCAAAGTCTCCCAATCGGCTCTCCAACTCAAGCTCTGTAATGTGATTACAGAAAGGTTAGCTTTCTTTTTATAATGTTTGCACTCACTGTTATATAGACTGATTTCATAAACATTTGTGTAATTAAACTAATGTAGTGTTAAGATTTGGCAGTGTGTCAGTTTGAACTAATCTAAATCCAACTCGACACATATCATGTTGTCGGGGGACAGTGCCTGTCTCCATTCCTGGGATGTCAGCCAGTCCTCTCGCTGGAGGTTCTTTTGATATATGATGGCCGGGCATGATCAGGCTCACAGGACAGCACCACGGGGTTTGGGAATCTAACTGAATCATCTGTACCTTAATCAACCTAACCCACTCAAAGCGGGTGTTTCCCCAGATTTCATGACAGGCAGGGTGGATCAATTGCATAAACCTAAGTAAAGGTCAGTAAAAATAGAATGGATGTGTTATGTGCAGGCAGGTTTGACAGGACAACCAGCTGGTCTTTATGTAACACAGGGGTCCTGTTTGAGGATTAGTTAACATTTCATTGATTCACACACAGCCTGAATTTCAAAACCCAAGACATGACTTAGCTGGTTGTCATGTCTGAAAGTAATCAATGATACAGTGTTAAATAGTTGTTGTCAATGCTCTAATCTCCTTTAGGGTAAGTGACAAAAAAATACAGAATTTTGTATAATTGATGTGTTCCTGGTTTGTAATTAGATTTGTTACAGTACCTTGTTACATCTAAGCTGTTGGGATAGAATATTTACGTTTTGAATTGTAGACAGTTTGGATCCTGGTGCTCTGGTGTGGACAGGTGACCTTTTGGCCCTCTCACCAAAGACCCAAAATACTGGAAAGGTTATGTCCAGCATATGCTTAATTGTATCGTGTGTCTTTTGCTCACGCAGGCAAATGTTTGTGAGTGATAAGTTACAAACATTATAAACCAGCCTACGGAGTTAATGGGCATTTGAATGAGAGGGACTTCCTACCTTAATGTCAGATGCCATGGCTAACTCCTGTTATCATTGACTTTGGCCTGGAAGAAACAGAATAGAATTAAGCCATGGGTTAATATCAAAATATTCATGGTCTCCATCTATGTGGTACAAAAACAAAAGTATTTATTTTAATAACACTAGTATGAGAATCTGCTTTACTTTACTGTCGTATACAAATTTCTTTAAATGAGGGAAGTTGGTTGAAAAGAAAAAGCATTTTGTGAAGTGTAGTTACATGCATGCGATTGTATTTACTATAGAATCACCTTTCTTTGGGTAGTTTTGAGTTGGTCTGCGGCTGTTCTTTCTCAAGTCTGTAAACAAGAGAGTATGTTCAGGAAAACATTTTTACACCCCAATCACAAGAATACGTGTGTTGCTTACCTTTCCTTTTGTGCTTTTAACTTATCATCATCATATCTGTAAGAGATGAAGACAAATTGCTTGACTGTAGTAAAACCAAAGGTTCGTTACATGCAGATGCACAAAAACAATCTCTTGTCCTTATTCATATTCACCAGTGATTGCCATAAGTCATAAATCTGTTGAATCCCTAAAAACATCAATACAAAATATGTATAACTCAAGTTAATGTATAATACATTACCTTTACAGGACTGCTCAATGCATGAACAGATTCATTAATCTAAGCAGACAACTGTGAGACGAAATAATCATTTCATGCCTTCCTAATCTCCACAAGATGTTTGATGAGTGTAGCTGTAATTAATTGTCATATTCAGCAGTCGGCTCAGTGAAACCTTGTATCCCACAGATGGGGGTATTTAAATCCTGGAAGAGACTAACCCTGTTAAGATAGAAATCTTAAGAGCCTAATAATTTGTTGGCTATTTTTAAACAACCAATCTTAAATCTTCAAGCTGATGAAAAATATTTATTGTAACTAAACTTAAGCAACTACGACTGATAACAACAGAAAAAAAGTGATATTTGACTACGCAGAGGATTAAACTTCTTCCTACATAGAATTTTGGGGCTTTGAATAGCACGTGGCATGATACAAAGTAGGTAAGTAGGTTACATGTTACTGTAGGTTACATTCACTAGTTATTTCAACATTAATGTGTGAGACCATGCTGACTTTTTAACTGATTTTGCAGAAATCCTTTCCCTTCAGAGGACCTGAATTAGGACATTTGAAAAATCCCCTCAAAGCACAACAGAGCTGATCGTGTGCCCCAACTTGGTTCTACAGGTTAACAGAGGGAACTTTGAATAGAATAGATATCAGATCATCACAATAATCTGCATGCTGACAAAACGTCTATAAACTGTGGTTAGCTGATGCTGCCATGATCAATGTGAAGCAGAAATGATTTCCAGGTGTTATTGCTGTGTGATGGCAGTACAGGCAGAAAGTGGAACAGAAGTTGTGTGGCGTTTCAACAGTGACCCCTGGTGGTTGAATGTACTTACTGCAGCACACATTCAGGGATCTGCACATGCTCCATGGGAATTAACTGGCCGAGCTCTTCAAGGGTGTGAACATATCGGATCTTATCCATAAACTTGACACTGAGGAAAAACAAAAACAGCATAATGTTATTTTCACAAACGGTTTTATCTGAAAATCTCTCTCGCAGAAGAGGCCCTCTGGCACCAAACCTTCTGCGAAGTGACATTTTCATTTTTTTAAAATGTTTTGATCACACTGAGTGACACATGAACAACTTCCTAACTAATCTAATATCTTCCTTTCTTCGACATCTTAGGCCACATGCTATCAATAAGTGGACCCATGGATAGTAAACAATTTTTTCACCTGATGAAAGGTCTCGAAATGGCCAGAACAGTCCGGATGAACCATGTGGGGTGAGCAATGATGAGACACTTCAGATTTTTTCTCAGTCTGTGGGAAGCATTCAAACAGGTTTAAGTGCAATCAATTTCCCATTGATTTGGTTCATTATTATTCTGGAAAGTAATAATATAAAGTGATTTGGCACAAATGATTCTGACGCTGTTTTCTTACTTTCTGTCAATCATGTGGTAGCATCTCTTCAGCCAGCTGATTCCTGGCATCTTCCTGCGAGGAGTGGCTCCGTTCAGGTATATAATCATATAATCTTCAGCCACAAGCAACTCCAGACTGCTCACAACATACCTGACAACAGAGCAACAGACGTGGGTGAAAACAACAGACTAATTCAATCAGCTTAGTTTAAACTATGGCTAAAGTTTAAATTGGGTTTTTATAAAAGCATAGCAAAGTCCAAATGAAGAGGGCTCAACTGAATATAAAGTAACATGCAGCCATACAGCTTTAGAATCTCTATCTGGACCTTATTGCTTGTTTTAACAATGAAAAGGCCACAAATGATCTGTCATTTAATCACAATTTAGATGATTTTAATGTAAATGTAATAACAATTAAAAAAAGTATTTGACATTATAGAAACGTTTCTATGTTAAAGGACTTCAATGACTTCTGAAACTGAAAAAAGCGATTCACAGAAGAAGAGATCACAGGCTCATACAGGAAGAGATTCTCCATGATGTAGGTGTAGTCCTCACAGCTGCTGTCAGGGAGGCAGCAGGCAGCAAATACGATGATGGCGTTCAAACCCTCCCCGTAATAACCTGAGAAGGGACAGAAACACACTCGGTCGTTTACAAATGAGTCAAATGAGACAAGTGAGTGGCTATTATTGTAGTCATTTTTTCCCCCATTAGATTAGTGCAAATTATGTTTGCTTTGTGTTGATCCCTTTATGACCTTTTATAATACAACAGCTTGAACCTAACAATGCTATTTTATGCATTCAGATAAAGCACCAAAAATTGCTGTTCATTTGCATAATTTTTCACAGCTTTTTGTCTTCTACTAGACATAAATTATTCAAACTGCCCTGACAGAAAGATATACTATTTCCTTAAATTACAATCACTGAGAAACAACACAAACTACACGTTTTGATAGATCTTTGTCTTTTTTTCTGTATGATTCAATCAAAGTTTGTAAATATTTTTAGTTTGTATGAGTAAATTCTACTATAAACCAACACAGATTCTAACAAACCTCCATGTGTGACCACTCGCAGGTACGGTCTGATGACCTGCATGTCAATCCTTTGTTCCTGGTCACCAATTATCACTGTTCGCCACAGACGGCCAGAGGAATCTCTCTCCTCTTCACTTTCACCTGGAAGACGCTTGGCGGTGGCCACAGGAGTATCATCTGAAAACAAGACGATAGGCGAAAGGTGCTGGTCAGATTTTGTAGAAAAAAACAATTAATGAATGTATAGCATTTTACAGAACTATTCATTCGGAATACAGCGTACCATATGTCCGTTTAAACTATCATAAGAAAGAACCTTTAACCAGTTTAGACAATCTAAATGTAAAAATGTACAAAAGCTGAAAAATGTCTCACCTTCCCACTCCAGCTCGTTTCCATTGTTGATGAACTCCAGTGAATCAGTCTCATCGGGAGTCTCGATGTCGTCAACATTGATGTCCAGGTCGTCGGGGGTTTCCAGGAAGTCATCAGAGAGCACTGACCCCTCGCTCTGATCCAGGGACAGGTTCATGTCTGGGGCAACCAGGGTGCGACGCTTCTGTTGAGTCATGGACTCTCCAACATTCAGAGTAGTGGGAGGATCTAAACCAGCAGGACAGTGAATGTGCAGGCGGAGATAGACACAAATAATCTAATGCTGCGCATACTTATATATTATCCTTACTGGTTCTGTTGTCAGTGAGGCCACATGAATCAATATCTCCATCCTCTGGCAGTGGCCTGTAGAGAAGAAAACACACAAATCAGAAGAAAAATAAATTAACAATTGAGACCCCGTATTGTGATGTAGCTGAGAACTGGTGGTGCTTGAGAAAACACCACCAATAATTACGAACTCTCCTCTTATATTATCAACTGTTATGGAGACAGTTGAACTCTCAGTGTACGGGGGTAAGAGAGCCAGATTATAGTAAACAACACCATCACTGTAGGAAGCACACAGACATTCATTTAAAAACATGACAAAAGATCACGAGTCTGGGCTAGCTGCTGGAGCTACAGACATAATTGTTGTTATTATGTAGTCAAGTTTGAGAAGATAGAGAGGGTACAGTATTGAAAAAGAGAAAGAGTGTGCAGCCAAAAAGCATCCTTGAGAAAGGATTCCTTGCCTTCTAAAATACGAAAACAATAAATTAACTTTTAAAGTATCTCCTTTCTTATGTTTTTATTGATCCAAAATGAACAAATCAGTGTGATTTCCTGGAAAGATTAGCTCACATTCACGAGACATTTACAACTATCATCACACAAATCTAACATCCCCAGTTTTATAAATGCATTGTATTGCACGTGTGACGAAATGGGGAAGGTAAACAGAAGTGTATTCTTGTCATTCTTTGCTGGGAAAAAACTAGGTGGCTGATTTTCCACTTTTGTACACTGTGTGATGCGTGACTCCTTTTTTCTGTTTGCCAGCTGCTAGTTGATACTGTCTCCTCAAAGCTACATTAAAAAAAGCACACACCTGCTTCCTGTGGGCCCAAAGGCACACACGTGAGGGCCTTTCCATCACAACACGACCTGTTTGTCCCGGCCTGTGCACAAATCAGGCAAACCTCACCCGCACACTTTTTTATTTTTGGCGTACTCTCTCATAATATTTAGAGAAATACCTGGGAAAGTCCTCATCCTGCCATTCGTCCTTAACCTCCATGCTGTCCATACGTAAAGTGGCCTCTGCTGTACCCATCCTCTGCCTGGGAGGACTGGGAGGGCTTCAGCTCACTGTGGCCGACAGACAGATACAAAAAAAAATATCAACACTGGAAGACTCGGAGAAACTAACAGGTCAGACATGGTCAGTAGTTTTTAACATGCTGCTCTAGTTTCATCACAAGCAAGTACAAAATTCCCTGAGAATTTTATACCAATACCCTGAAGGAAAGTGACCAAAAAAACAAACACTGAATAGCTCATGTGGTAGTCCGTCCCTGTAGGGCATCAAGCACAAACAGCTCCCACATGCTTCAATGAAGCCGATGTTCGTTTCCACATCTTGCATAATTTAAACAGATGGTTTCTCATTTAATGAAGTGTTTGGACAAACATGGACAGACGTGAGCTGGACATACACTATGGGAGTTTTGTCTCATAAATAGCTGCTGGACAGACTTGAACTCTTCCTACGTCCCTGCCCCAGTCGGAGTTCACTCTGGAGCAGACGTTTCTGGAGCCCATTTGTCCACTGAGATGGCACTGATGCGTTAACACCAGCCCATTCGAGGGGGGGGGGGGGAAACACAGTTGTGGGCTAAAAGGTGCAAACCCTCGGGGTGTTCCTGATGCTGTGGCCCTGTGATTCTAAATGACGGAAAAGGAGGAGGAGTTTGGTCCCAGTGTTTTGATGCAGACCCGATGAGGAACACCAACCCACTTTCATTTCAAATCCTCAAGCTAAACCTCTCTTACAGAAAGTCGTTCACATGACCAGCAATGGTTGATCTGTCGTCTGTGTTCAAATGCCACTTTTCGAGGCTCAGCTGTTCTTTCATTTGGTGAACCGCTGATTGATGGACACAAAGTACTGATACGGCAGCATGTGTTTGTGGGGATTTGTGTCCAGATGGCAGCGCTGCCTTTATTTCCCTGAGACCATCTCAGATCGACTGTGCTGTGCTTACCAGACCTCAAAATGTAGTTTCACAGATGGTACATAAACTCGTACAGGAGACCGACATTACAAATGCATTTGTTGTCTTACATAATCTACCTGACAAAAAAAAAATTAATTAGAAAATATCTGCATTGCTGAAGAGTTTCAACTATGAAAAGGGTTATTTTGCTTTTTCATGGCTTGAAGCTTCATGAACAGCAATAGATTTATTGGAGAAAAAAAAGTAATCAAGGTTTCATGACAATGCAACATAGTTGAACTTTTTTCTCTTTTTAAAGTTTCATGAAAAACATGATTAACACAAAGAAAATTAAGAAATGCCATCGTGCAGTAACCAGAAAAATTCAAAGAGCCAAACTGTTTTTTATGACAAACGAAAGCAGAACCGAACAAAGATCTGAACATTGTATTAGACAACATAACTTCCCATCAGTGGAATCAACTCTGAAGAGCAGCACTTCATCCAGCTTTTAAGGACAATCATGTTTAGGTAAGATACTCACATGTTGTAATGATGAGGCCGTACTTTTGGTCGTGTTAACAGCGTTCCTGTTTGCCTGTCAGGAATTCCCCGCCTGCTCTTGCTCCTCCTTAAAACTGTGGAGTGAGGATCATCACTGTTTACCTCAGGAGGTGGCCCACTGGTGCGATTAGGAGAAACTGGGCTTCTGCAGAGTCCTTTCTGCCTGCTGATGCTGCTAATGGAGGCAGGCAGGGTGACCGTGTTCTCCTGTAGAGAGGAGAGGGATGAGGAGAGCATGAATGAGACATAACCCTGCTCTCATCTTTTCAGCCTCCTCTGCCGTGAAGATCCTCCTGTGCTGAATTTTGGACTAAGGATTATCCCCACCCTGTCCTTTTAACTAATTTCTTTCTGCTTCCTATTTACTTGGGCTCGACTCTGCTAATATCCCCTCGCCCCTCCTCCCTCCACAAACACTAATGCCCCCACCCCAGGCTCTAATCCTTCTGATGATGTCACCCGTATGCTTGCTGTGTTATGTTTGTTATGTAATCAAAACTACATACCTTTTTTTTTATTCTGTAAGGCTTCCCAGATTCAGCATCACCTGTTTTCCTCACGTTTGGTGCGTTCAGCATCCATCATTACTTGAGTTGTCATCCTCTTGGAAGCTGTGAAAGACAGACTCCTCTATTTCAGCCTTGTTCCCTGGCAACAGCATCTTCCACCCTCATTCAGAGTCGCGATCTCTCTCTTTCTTTTCCTATCTCTCTCTTGCTTTTCTCACCAACTACTGTAACCTCTCTCACTCTTGTTCAAACCCCTCTTCCACAGGATCTCCAGTCCTTTTTTTCTTGCTTGCTGGTTGTGCCGTTCTCCCTCCTCTCCCTCTCCATCTATCATGATTTGCTCACAGCTGCATGGAGCTCTGGGTGATGTCAGTAAACACAGAGTGACGTCTGTCTCGGACTGCGCTCATCTACCAGCAGAGGAGCTGCCACATTTTTCTGTTCTCTATGTACTGCCTGAAAGGAAAACCTATTTCAGGTTTTCGGTTTTATACATTACATTAATAAAACCACATAGCACTGGTGTTAAATAGTGCAAAAATACTGAGAAAACAACTGAAAGAATTTTGTAAAAGCTAAAACTAATATATAGGTGTTTAGGGTTTTAAATAACAAAACAAAGTTTATGCTAAGTAAAGTAAAGCATTATGATTTAAAACAAAGTGGAACCTTCAAAAAGAGACGTACAAAAGAGTTTGTTTCAGAGGGTTTTATCGTCTGAGAGAAGGAAAGTATTTGTTCAAAGTATAAATCCCAAGTAAAATTCTTTTTCACATTCTTATAGGTGGAAATTCTTTATTCTTGGCTGTGGTGATTATCCTGGTGATTATGATACAAGGTAGTTAGCATAGTATGAATTCTTATTAATTAGGAATAACTATATGAGAACAAGGCTTGAACAGTCCCATGCAGAACCGGCAAAAAGAGAAAAAAATAAAATAAAAAGAGAAAAAAAGGAACAAAAAGGGGAAGAGATGGAGAGGGAAGTACAGCACACTCCAACTGAAAGCTGATTTTAAGTGCTTTTAGGTTTCTTTTTATTCACTGTGACATACATAATTATTTTTAAGGTCAAACACAAATCCATTTGTGCTTTAGTTACATATTCATTTGTTTTTTCAATCACAAACCCAAATTGTAATGTGCTAACTGTTCTTTTCAACCTGAAAGTGGGTCACTGGCACCTTGACCCTCCCTCCAGCAGATGGTGCAAGAGCTTCAAATCATGTACCAAAAACAGGAGTTAGTTGAATCACCGTGTGTAGCTCAGAAGGGGGAACTTAAGTTCACAATGGTTGGCCCTGACAGACCAAAGCTCTACAGCTCATGTCTGGAAAGATGCTGCACGACACCAACACCAATACAGTCACCCAGCACATTGGTGGCAGTCCTTAGACGATCCCTATTGACACAGAGATGGTAAAGTCTGAGCTTACAAACCTATGTGGAGCAGCGTACATTTAATGGAAGGCAAAACAGATATGTTTTTCACAGAGGAGATTTTAACATCCCATGAAATGTGTTTCACACTGATCAGTTTGTTTATTATAATACATTAACTTACTTTTAACTCTAAACGTGTTTCCATTTTATTTACCAGTTTACTTACAGAATCCAGTCAACAATCATGAGCAGTGATATATCTTCAGTGGGCAGTCCAGCTGACGCCAACACAATCACCATGGATACCATTCCAGCCTGAGGGATGCCAGCTGCACCAGTGCTTGCCGCTGTGACAATTAAACTAAACAAGGGAACCAAAAATACCATCATCATGTAATTATAGCCTCATCAGCCATGAATGCAGTTGAATATCTGCTGCTTGCAGTGCAAACCTCTGAGGACAGTCATTTTGCCAAAGTCAGTCAGAGTCAAATCAAAGACAAATAAAGTCAACAAACTGAAGAAGCAAAGTTAATTAATAACAAAAACATTTACATACTATCATGTAAAGCTCTGACTTTTCAAATGGTTTGGTCTGAAACACTTTCCAAATCATGAAGGCAGCATTGTAAATGAATGTCATATAACCACACCGTACCTGAGGACAAGGATTTGTCCAAAGTTTAAATCCATGTTATTGACCTGGGCAATAAATAAAGCAGCCACTGCTTCATAGAGGGCCGCTCCATCCATGTTCATTGTGGCTCCGATAGGGAGCATAAAGCGTGTCACTTGTTTGTCCATGTTGTGATTCCCCTCCATACAATGAAAGGTAACAGGCAGGGTTGCAGAACTGTGACACATTGAAAGGTATAAAGTTCTGTATTAAGGTTATCGACTTCTAATCCTTGCTATTCTGCAACACTACCTGGATGACGTCCCAAAGGCAGTGGTCAGAGCCTGGAGGAGACCTCCAATAAACTTCAAGGGATTCTTTCGTGTCACCGTGAAATAGATGAGGGGAAGAGTGAAGAGGCTGTGGATTATCAAACCGGCGATCACAGTGAGAGTATACATGGCAACTTCACGACCAATCTCTTCTGCGTCTGTCATCTTCACAACCTGTCCTGCTAGCAGGAATATGATTCCCACTGGCGAATACCTGCCATAGAGAGAAGGGTTAAATTGCAGAACAGAAAGACAAAACAACACTGGAAATGTATCAGAGACGATTCGTTAATGTAGGAAAAAATCTAAACCAAAGCCCAGACACTGAAGGGAAATGGATACAAATAGTTTATAGATTTACTTACCATATGATTACATTAACCAGAAGCATAATGGCTTTATTCAGGCAGATAAAGAAATCCCTCAGAGGCTTTCCCTTTGTCTCCATGGAACTCAGGATGAGGCCAAAAGTGACAGAGAACACCATCAGACCCAAAACATTGATGCCATCTGCAGTCCCTGGCACTGGTGCTGGCCGGTATGGCAAAGAAAAACGGTCGACATTTAGACAATTATATAACTGCAATAACAACAATATTACAGGAGGAAATTACATTATGATGTATAAAATGGATGGCAAGAATCCAACACACAGAATATAAAAACTGAAAGGACTCACTTTTCTCAGTCTCATTGGAGACACTCAGATACCCTCCTGATGAATCACCGCTGGAATATTCTGTCTTATACTGAATAAAAAAGTGTGTTCAAATATCATTTTTTGTTGACGGTGCAAAAATAACACCAGTAATGTCGTGGCCAATCTTACCTTTCTGAAACAAGCTTCCACCACATTTGATGGGAACATGTTTCTGTAAAACACAACTGTGTGTTCATCATAAGATACACGTGGCCAACTGTTCAATTTTAGGGGTTGTGGGAGGGCCTTGATGTTCACCTGATCAGATCCAGGAAAGCATCCACACTCTGCACAGCTTCTGCCGTACCACCAGAGGGCTCTGCCGTACGCTTGGACGACTTCCCAGGCTGGACGAGGACAGCCAAGGCAATGCCGGTGAACGCAGCAATAACAGTGGTGACTAAATAATAACTGAAGGCTCTCAGACCGATCCGCCCATAAGCCTTTCTGTCTACACCTGACAGGCCTGCAATGGAAACAGAGGGTTTGAATGTGCAGCCATGAAAAGAATTGGAGAATTATCTCAAATGTCAGGTTTCCTTAAATGAATTGTAGTTTTACCTGCTTTTATGGACTTGACTCTACTTTTACTAATCTGTTTTACTTATGTATTTATTTATTTTTTAACCTTGTCCTGTTCAGCATTATGGCAGCAGAGTACCGCGCTATGCTGAACACGTTTGCTTTGCCAAGGGAGGCTTTGCTGGTGAGAAGCCCCCCTTGTTTACCCAAAACTGCTTTATTTATTTATTTTTCTGTTTACCAAACTACACATTTGTCCAATAATGCCGAACCTGAAACAGGGACAGAGGAAGAAAAAAGAGAGAAAAGAGCAAAGTAAAACAAACTCCACACAGTAAAGGTCCTGGTTCCCCTAGGGACTCAAACCCAGAGCCCTCTTGCTGTGAGGCGATGGTGCTAACCACCACACCACCCTCAAGTCCTGCTTATGATATGTTTACCTTATTCTCTGTAAATATAGTGTTATGCATGTTTGAAAGGTGACGTAGCAATACAATTGAATTTAGTTCCCTTCATGATCTGTTTAGTGGCAGTTTAGCGGTATTGCAGATAGCTTGTAAAACTTAGTTTTACAAATATTTTGTTCACTGTCATCAGCTAACCTGCAATCAGGCTGGAAACGATGAGTGGAAGCACCAACATCTGCAGGATCCTCATCAGCATCTCTCCAGGAAACATTAAGTATTGAATTTCCTGTGCAGACATATTAATGTGTCGCAGAGCAAAGCCCAGGCCAATTCCTCAGAGAGACACATACATAAATCAGCAACTGGGTGTGCTTTTACACTTAGTTAAATAAATTAATATAGATGATCAGAGATTGGAATATTAAGGCTTTAATTTAAATAGTCTTTTAAAACAACTTACCTATGGCAACTGCGGTCACTGTGAGAAATACAAAAGCATTTTTCTTGAGAAAACTCAGAATGTTAGATGTTTGAACAGAAGCTACATCATTTTGGCTTCCTTCATGTCCCAAAACCTGTACTGGGTCCATCTCCAATATGTCCTCAGGACTCAGAGGCATCTCCATAATTAGTCACAACTATTAAGTGTGAAAAGGAAGTCTTACTGAATTTAACAGGACTGTAACAGGACGACCTTTAGCGGTTGGATTTGTCGTTTAGTGAGCATGAGTCTTGAGCCAGAGTCAGGTGGAGAACAGCAGCAGTTTTTCTATTTTATCATTACACCTTAAATAAACACCACACCCCACAAACAATTCCCCCCCTAGTCCTTTCAATGGCCTCTCCCAGAATCTATATATGGCGTCTGGACCCCCGGGGTAGAATTTGTCCAAACACCCTGGAGAGGACACAGAAAAGACAGGTGAGTCACTTTACCACAGCACTCCACACTCAACAGATTATGCACACATTTGCTTAGTTTTTTCCTCACCATTAGCTCATTGCTCTGAGTAATAATTATGCTCCTCCAAAGGCAACAGCAACCAACCTCACCCATCAATGAGGAGCAGCCGTGCAGAGCCCAAAACAAAGGCTACATAATAATGCTCAATAAATATAATTAAACCTTCTTGTGTGCAAATTTATTGTTGTGCAAATCTCTGCTTAAAGTGCAAATGCTAAATAAAGTGCAAAAATACCTTTTTAAGTGCCATACAGTGCTATATATGTAAAATAGTCCCAGTAATGAAGATCTCTTCATTACAAGGACAATGATTTAACTATGAATCTTTACCAAAGGAGAAGCTGAGAAAGTAAGTTGAAATGTTGAAAAATATCAAACTGGGAAGACATTCCTGAAATATCAAAGCATTTATAATCAGAACTTGTCTATGTACTTACTGTATGTGAAATAATTACATAGAGAAGCTTGGTGTAAAAAGCTACAAAAAATCTATTTCTTAGGTGGCGGTAGAAGATGAAATTCAGTCACCCTGTGAAATAAACAAACATACTGTTGAGTGTAGAGTCCAGTTCCTTTGCAAAAATACACATTTTGCAACTCAACAACTTTAAAACATTAATCATTAGCTTTATGTTGGGGAACTTTTTTATTCAAAGGCTAATGTTGCTCATTGAAACCGTATCAGTGATTAAAGAAATCAAAGTATTTAAAGTAAATCATATTATGACTTAATTCAGGATAATATCACTGTTACTATAATTGCACAGTTGCTTCTGATGATTATGTTTGTGTCACCTTGACAATAAGAACAGGACCAGAGTTTCACAGATAAACACACACAATTCATGGCACAATTTATCATGAACATGAGAGAGCCTCACCTTGATAAGAAACATCAGCTGCCTTATGGACTTTGGACACTATAGTCACAGAATGTTATCTCACTCCCTCCGTGTCTGTACGTTTTTGGCCAAAATTTGCCAAATATTTGCTGATTTTCTGTTTTGTTTTAGTTGAGTTACATCAGTCTGGTCAAAAGTTATGTTTGGCTGAATTACAGCCAGAAAGCAGAAAGTAAATCATTAATGTATCCTGTTGTCCATCCGACTTAAACCTCTTCCTTCATGAGTGACTGGCTTGGATCATACTTGTGATTAAAAATCCTGTACAGAAAATAAATTAGAGGGCAATCTATTTCTATGACTATATCTAACATAGTAACTATAGTGGAAACTGCTATATCATGGAAGTTTTTTTCTGGAAGAAAAAAAAAATTATTTTGTTACTTATTTACAACGCAGGTCCAATTTACATGTTCACATGAACACTCATACAGCAGGTCTTATATTTGGACTCTAGAAAAAGGCTTGTTTCTCTACAAGTACACACAGAAGAACACGAGTAAGCCATAATGGGGGTTTGTAGTCTTGGAAAAGGACATAGTGGACATATGGAGGGCTTTAAAAGCAAACAACCTCTCTTCAAACAGGACTGGCTGACTTTATCCACAACCTCAAAGGTCAGGCTGAGAATGATAATGTTGGTAAGCAATTCAGCCTATAACAATTTTTGGCTAATATCTTTCAGGCGGAAGATTAATAGTTAAATGCAAAACCATTTTTACACTTCGGCACTGCTGAGAAGTTAATCAAAACGTTTAGCCACAGGACTTTAAGGTTTTCGGTGCATCAATATCAGGGTCTTCAGATATTAGATTTGATGGTTTGGCAGCACTCCATAAGTCAGAATATCTGCAACAAATCCCCTGTAATTAGTTGATCTTAAGCCTGACATGGTTAATGTCCGGAGAGTTATTGGCACTCTGTTAGGTACAGAGCTTATGGGTCAATGAGGTGCTAAGACCATAGCGGCCCTAATATACTCTTTCTAGGACAATACTTTTTATGGCAATCCTCTTCAGACAGCGAAGCTGATCAAGAAGATCTTAACCATCTAACATCCTCTTTCATTTGCTTCATTCTATTAGTAGCTAAGGTCCATGAGGACACATAAGGCACAAAGTGCCATTGATATCATGACAGTTGTGAGTTCAGTTTAACTCAGCAGACATTATAAGACCTAAAGGAGAGCTGATGACATAACACCAAATCTCAGTGGAACAGATGAGACTGTTGAGATCATGTAATATTTGAAAAAAAAGTGAGGTTTAAATAAATATTTATGAATACAAATGTATTTGCAATTTGATTCTTTGCCAACTGTACTTTTTTGCTGGTTGAATGTAAATATACCCTAAAGAACCCTATTACATTGATATTACGGTTTTTTAAGGTATAAAAAAAAAATTCTTCTTGGCTTACACACTTACAAATTGTTAGAACCCAGATTTCCTATAAGTTTGCTGTGGCAAATTCCTCACCTTCAAATCACCACAAATCTCTGAAAATGATATTAATGCAGAAAATGATTTGTTGATTAGCTGGTTAGTCAGGTGTTGCGCTCGTTTAATTTGATCTTTATTCAAGACAGTGGATTGCAGGCCAAGTACTGATTCAATGTATGTGTCCAGTTGCAGCACAGCAAACTCTAAAGCTGAAGATACATTTATACAACCTCAAAGGAAGTGTTAAATTGAAAAAAAGAGCCACAAGTGCATCATGGAAATAGTTCAATTGTCCATTAGTCTGTATTCATTACTCCACCATAGAATGCACAGGTAGGCAGGCAGCACTGGCCTACATTCAGTCCATCCTGCTTCCTCTTCTTGTCGGCAAGGTAAACACTCTCCATTGTTTTTAGTGTGTTAATTATGAGCTAAGCTCCTTAGCGGTTTTACCTCAGCACTGAGTTATTGATACAGTGTAATCATTGTGACACACATTAGGCATGGTTTCAAATTAGGATGTATGTATACCGAGCTGCACTATTGAATAGTTAATCATTCAAATATTGACAATTAATTGTAACATCAACCCTTCTTCACTCTATTATCCCTTCCCTTTTACTAAAGGATCCAAGGACATTTCATACGGACTGTTGCGATTCTCACGATGCAGAGGAAGGTGGTGAAGCTGACACTTAAAAAGGAGCAGATGGAAAGGAAACCAAAGAGTCCAAAGCCATGTTATGGGAGGAGTTTGAGCAGTTCAGAGGCTGCTTGTGGGGGGAAAAAGTAAGTAAGACCCTGCCTGTAGCATTACTTTTTCACAAGAAACAAGAAATAACTGTTAATCTTGACCAGTTCATGACAGGGATGCCAGTACATAACCACTTTGTTTCTGTGTAGAGAATGTAAAGTGTGTACATATACTATTTAATTTTGAACAAGATAAGTTTTTCTGAACACACAAGTGTGTGCACTCCAAATACTGCTTTAATATTCAGTGAAGCATAAAAAATCAATAATAAATAAAACAAAATGAAGCACTTACTTTCCATTTAGGAATTATTACCGGATGTCAAATCATGTATACATTATGCTTCCACTCCCTAATATATGACTGCATGGGCTGGAGGAATTATCATTTAGAGATTGAAAATATTTCTCTGATAAAACTTAAACAAGCATCCAATGGTATCACATTCTTCTGCTTTGTGGTCTTTCACATTTGTTTCCATTATGGGAAAGTTTCTGGCTTTAGAGTGCATTTAATTTGAAGGTTTGTCCTTATGTCTAAAACATGCTAAAAGTCTCAGATATTTCATCCAAAAAAGAGGCCCTAGTTAGTATGTGGGACTTTCAGATTGCCCTCAGCTTTTGGGAAGGTGAGGAAAGTGGACATTCAACCTGATATATCTCAGTCCCTGCAAGGTCCATGCTGTTCTTAATCTTTTTTACTTACATACAACAGCATTGGAGCCCTGAAAGTGTATTAGATTCAGAAAATGTGAACCAAATTTGTAGAACTGGCTTTTTTTCTGTGGACAAATTAGGCTTGATCATATTCTGTTAACAACCAGCTGACCAAAGGCAAACAGTACAGTAGATTGTGCAAATGTGTTATCAGCATTCTAGTTAAACCTCCAAAGAAAAAAAAGCTAGTATACTACTGGTATCAGTCATTTTGTACCTAGGATTTCAATTTTTCATCAGGACTTGTGACACTTCTCTGTGTCCATTCATCTTAATTGAATGTAGGTGTCAATAAAGAATTCATTCTACTTATCCTTAAGTGAACTTACGTTTTGAAACACTGAGCGGATGTTTTTTTTTACCAGGCCAGCCTGTCTGCTTGTGTGACTACTTGTGATGCATGTGTGACATCAACGGATGCCAGCCAGGCTTACTGGGTAGCTTTAGGTAGGGGTTTATTTACTTGGGGCTCAAATTAGCCAGAGAAGCAGATTAGGCTCTGTGTGTAATAACTCATCAGTGTAGAAACCTCCATTAAACATGTCTCTTAGCCAGTGCGCTTTAAAACAATAATTATTTAATCACCTTATAGTGTCATCTAAAGCTGAAGTGTTTGCTATCTCCAATTAGGTAAAAAGACAAATAGTTGTGAAGCTAATTTCTTATCGCTAATGAGGAGATATTGTGGCATATGATGTTGTTTGGTTTTTCAGTAAAGTTCACCAATGAATACAATATAAAAGCTATGTAACATACAATATGTGTGGTTCAGAGTGGTACAGATTGTGATGGATAGGACTGTGGCTTCCTGTTTTAATGGGAAGCTCCACTCTGAGATGCATTTGGCATTTCAGCAAGAACTTGAACTGTTTTTGTTTCAGAGGAACACAAAACATTGACTGACAAAGGTTCTTGTCACCTTTTCTATAGAGGAGTTTCTATATGCAATTAATAAAAGCTTGAGAAATGTACAACTCCTCCCTTTGAGTTGACAAGTTGTCAAATTAAATGGGCAACTTTAAACCTGTTTCTAAGTTCATGATTTCATCAAATTAAATAGTTTAGACAAAAGCCTAAGCACGCTTCTCGTTCTGTGAATCATGTAGGAAAGAAGCGTAAGCCGATAAATGCGGGAAATGTGGGTGTCGACTGACGCCACAGCAGTTTGAAGAAAATGAGATGAGAGAGTACAATGCAGGCCAAGACATCAAGTAACTGAGGATTTGTGCCAAGCTGCAGCTCTTGTGGAAGCTAATCTTATTACGGTAGGGTTAGTGCAGACCACCCTTAAATAGACACAGGTCAAATCTACCGAAAAGGAAACTGTTCCATAGTACTGATAATGACATTATTGCAGGTACACTTACAGAAGTGGGCTAATAACACAAATGACGTCAATGCAGGCAGAGCTGGATTTAAAACATCACCTTTTGTTTCCGTTATCTAAAACACTGCAGTTAAGTACCATGTGATGGGAATGCTCCACTTTTTGAATTGATATCATCATAAAAAGATAAATGCTTTTATCCTGTCTTAAATGTTAGCAAATGTCTCAAACTCAAGTAATTTTAGATAAAGATCAGATAATTCAATCAAAGCAAAATATTAATGTGACAATGAGTGAATTAACATCATCTCATGTTCAGCATAGATGCTTAGTGACAGCTTCAATTAGATAAATAAATATTTGTTTGTTCCATTTTTAATAGTGCTTCAAGAAGAGGTTCTGCCTCTTTTTTCTTTTTTCAAATATCTGATGCCACCTTAAACCCTCAAATCCCTCTTTGACTAACCTTCTCCAAAGTGGTGTTCAGTGGTTTTGAGGTTTAAGATTCTATTTGTTGAGATATTTTTCTCAGCAGTCATAGCACCCTCTACAGGTAAGTCCAAATATTTTACAATATATTCATTAGATATGAAAGCAAAAAGTTAAACTATTTTTTATCTATTTATTAGTTTAGAATAAGTTTAAGCATGAGGACAAAACTATATAAACTATATATATGGGTCATAATGGGAGAAACATGGTGCACAAAGATTTAAGGCATGGAAAGCAAAGCAGTGGAGGCTGATTAGATTAACAAGATAATGTTTCATAGAGCAACCTAATTAAGTCCACTCAAATCTTTCTAGTGTAAATTGCCTTTCCTTACTAACAACATTACTGTAATGTGGTTATACTGCAATTGATGATCACCAACAAAAGCTTTCCTCCACCTGTTTTTACACACCTGTTTAGCCTGCCCTTTGACTTCATGATCCCTACTTTTTTGTGTACATACATACATTTGAATTGTGTAACTTTTAACCATCGATATTATTCCGAGAGTCTAAATAAGTTTTCTTTTGTTATTTGTTGCAACAGTGTGCTCAACACAAAGCAGCGTTTCAGAGGGTTGCGGATGACGCTGACATGCAAGAGGAAAGAGTTAAAAAGTCTAAAAGAAGAGGAGAAGGAATCGAGAGCTCTGTCCTCACTGACCTCCCAAACACGGACGAGGATGCACTGGAAACTAAGACCTGAACTACAATAACAGAGTTGATCCTGCACAGAGGAAGTTTTCTGGAGGGACTGCAGAAGAGACAATTGTTCTTTTGTGCCACGCCGTAATCTCTGATTGCACATATGCCCTCAGAAAAGAGCTGTCTTTGCCATGGATGACTTTCCCTTTCTAAACGAAAGGACCTCATATCTGGAATAATCTTCTCCATCTGAAGTTATTTAACGAATGTACAACTCATTAAAGATGCAAAACTTAAATTTAATCATTCTGTCAAATGTGTGTATGTGATCCAAATAGTAGTTTCTACATAATATTCTGCATTTCTAAAGTCAAATTATCATGAAATTAAAATTTTTGGTCTTTTTTCCTGCTTGTTCAATCTGTTTGTTAGGATTTGGTTATAAATACTCACTTTAGCATAGTATGCTATCACATGATCTATGTAGCTTACTGATTGTTTTATTTCTTTTATAACTATATGAAGTCTCTGGCTGTAACCACAGATTCTCTTTGCTCTATCTTTTCTTTCTCTCTTTTCTTTTTCTGCTGCATTAGATCCACGTCTTTGAGTCAACACACACACACACACACACATCATTTGGTACCACATTCCAATGTCATCAACATGAATTTACGATCCGGCTTGTTAGTCTTACAGATAACTAACCAATAGGACTTGGTCGTGTCCAGTTCTCCTTTTGAAGGGTGTGCCTAGCCAAGGAGACAAAGACCCATCACACCCAGATCTCAGAGCTCTTTGCCGACTGAGACCCTGAGAGAGAGGTTTCCTCTGTGAAGAGCCCAGCGCTGAAATACTTTACCTGTGACCCAATAAATGTCAACTTTTTACTCTTGATCGACTCTGGTTTATTCTCAGGTTTCCAACTAAAGAATCGGGCTAACATGTTCCTTGAAATTCTGACTTGATAATTAAATTTAGTTTGTAGATTAAAAAAGAAGAGGTGTAGCCATTCCCCCATAAAATACATTTTGAAGATGTATGTAAGGTTCGATGGCTTACATTAATGACATTTAAAACTTTCAAGAAATATATTCAATTATTAATATATTATTGAATTGAGATACAGAAAGATGAATTCCTTTAGAAATGATAAAAGTCTTGCTATGTTTCTCATGGACTCACACATCACTGAGTGAACACAAAGTAATAATCAGCTTTTTTTTTTCATATTTAAACTCAAGCTGACCACGTGACCGGTCAGCACGTAACCCTCCCTTTCCATCGTCCCTCCCCCTGTGCCTCACCATCCCCCTTTCCCCCTGTAAGCTGACACAGCGCCTTTAAACATTAGCTGCTTTCTTCCTAATAGGATCTCAGGGACTTACATTGTCATCTGATAAAACTAAGGCGCTTGATAGCTGTGCTGCACCCTCTTAACCAATTTGTACTCAATTAGGATAATAGGGAAACAAGCAAAGAGGGACAGCTTTAATATATTAATGTGATAAAATGATTATCAGTTTCTCTTCATTATGACTTGGGTGCTATTAGGAGCATATCAGATGGCTATTGATAAAATAACAGAAGCTAATTAAGTGTGTCAGGCACTAGAAGACATCAGAAACATTTAATTCAATGAGATCTAGGACTGGATTAGGCCCTATCTGCCAAAAGTGACAACAGACGTTCCGAGTCCAGATGTGAAATGTGAAAGCTGACAGTTTGATTTACCTTGAAGCAGTGATGTCCCAACAATTATCCCTTTAAGGTATCCATTTAAAGGCTCTTCATGCTTAATACATTCTGGCTTACTAAACATTTGCGTGTAAACAGCCATAATCTGTGCTGCACACTACACACAACACATAACCAGCAGCACTATTATCAACGTGGTTTCATGTTTTTCAAGGTTTGATGGCATCAATTTCATCTTATACTGATATTGCCTTTTTGAATATCGGTTGCCTGATAGTAAGAATAACTGCTGTGGCATATTATTATAAAGTGCTAAACTACCTCATGAAGATGACAATTGATCTATAAATATATATATCATAATATCGCCACCTCAGTGTATTTGATGCTTCTTTTTATGCTTTGCCTTGTATGAAAAAATCTTTGAACTCCCAAGGTTAAAAATTTAATGAGATGATATAAAGTGATCAACAAAATTGAAAATAATATTAAAATTGTGAAAAAGTTCATTATTAATTGATGAGCAATTATGCCAATCTTCTTTTTATTTGCTCAGAGAAAGGTTTAGTGGCCTGACTTTCTTTATAATCACCATATGGCAGCAACCTGTTTCATGCCAAATCCCCCACTGGCTTGTGGGGTCATCTTTAAGATCTAGATTGCATTTAAAGGGAAAAGTACAATATAATGGGCTTTTGAAAGTCCTTGTTCTAGGAAACAACACTGACAACCAAGAAAATGCGGCTGAACAAAGCCACTTAGCAGACAGCCAGTCTGGGCATAGACACTGGATCTAGCCTTAAACTTGTTAACAGTTAAAATTTCCAGCAAGTCCCTAACTCAAAGAAGTTTTGCAAGTTCGTGTCAGGACATGACAATGTCGTCCCTTGTTAAACCTACTGGTACAAATTAACATTATCAAGCACTGATTTCAACCCAATTGACTGTTTAGAAAGAAAGAAAAAATTATGAGAGTATGTATGTAAACTACCAAAGTATTATTTGTGTAAGAAATAAGAAAATACATTAAAAAAAACATGGATGCACTATTTTGAAAAGCAGTATAGAAAATCATTACTTTTGGAAGACTCACATAATGAAAGAAAAAAAATCTATTTTAATCATAGCCCAACACGCAACATCAAGAAAAAGTGAAATTATGCAAATAGAATTTTATAACAAAGTTAACATGCTCTTTTCTCCAATTAGTGATTACAGCAAAGTTTGCACTCTGATAAATCTGTGAAAAAATCGAATTGCTCACAAATGTTGTGATGGAAAAATGGTTTTCTGCACCACTTTGCCATGTTGGATTTTGTATTTGTTGTTCAAACAACTGCTAAATATAACCTCAGATAGGGGGAGTGAGGTCAGTGGAAATCTCTAGTGAAGTCTTTAGGCTCATTAAGGATGGGCTTGATCTCTGCAACACCTACTGTAGCTGCAAGAGCTTTGGCTGTGCCAGCTGGCAAATAAGAAACCTACCAGCTTCAGGAGGATGACCCCCTCCCATTCCCTTGCACTCTGTTTGCTGAACTTTATCACTCATGCAATTGACAGATGTAAACTATTAAATCTGACCCAGAGTTCAGCTTTAAAAAGTGCAGTATAAATTAGGTTGACATTAAATCTGAATACTGGTTTCCTTTTAGTTGTGTATACTTTTATTCTAACATGAGGTATTCAAGGTTCTCTTGTTCTTAGACATCATAACAGCGTAAATTATCACAGGACTGATTTTTACAGCTTTAAAACTATTTGTGTATGTGGTACACTTTTCTAAAGCACAGTCATTACATTTTGAAATTTAACTAACCAAATTTACTGAGAAAAGCATGTAATTTGTACAATGTTGTAAAATCCTGTTTTTCAAAAGGAGCTATTCTTTATTTAGATGAATCCTTTTATTTAAAAAAATAGTTATCTTGACAGTATTTAGCACTTCATAAGTTAAAAGTCCATCCCTGTCTATTCTCCCTTACATTGTCTATAATAAAGGGATTAACGAAAATTCCCAATACAAGCCATTATCTTTCAGACAATGGATTATTTGAAAGAAAGTTTTGTTGAGGCTTCATTAGCAATGGCCTCCCTCTGTGGTCTGAAAGCAGGACACATTTGGAGCAATTACTTGACCAGAAAACAACTGTCAGTCATTCTTAAAGGGGAAGGATTCCAATTAATAAACCTCTTAAACCCTTTGGTTTTACTACCATTCCCCCCGCCAGCGTTTGTGTCTCGTGTGGTTAGAAGAGTTTTGTCAGAAGAGAAAGACATTACGTGCTCTTGTTGCACAGATCTTCAGCTCTAGGTCCTTTGCTCAATTGTTTGCAGGGGATTTCAAGTACTTATCTGGGAGTAATAAGTGCCTACAGTAGTCTCACTTGTGGACTACAGAGACGCCATGTGCGAAGCATAGCCTGAGTCAGGAAACCTACTGAAGGTAAGATTGTTTTAAATTCTTTTCCAGGTATGTCATTGATTGGAACTTGTTTTTTTCTACGGTCAGTGGCATTTAAATAATAATGAAAAAATATCATCGTAAATGCAGTTTACTTTTTCAGGTACAGTTGAGGTCGTCTCAAATGGTTGTTTTTTCAATCAGGTCAACTGCATGCCTAAAGATAAAAAAAATAACTTTGGGATTAGATGGATTTGATGTTTTTGGGGACAATTATGGGCTATAAACCAAATACATCAAAAGACTCAACATGTGTTTTTATTGAAAGCTAATATTTGTTCTTCAAGCATGGGTGAATGAAGTGTTTAAGGGACATGATGGTGTTCCATGTTAGAAGAAATAAATCATTGTGCCATGTATGTTCAAATGTATCTCACTGACATTTTCAACTGTGAAAACACTTGTAAAGAATCTGAAAATTTTCAATGTCAAACTAATGTAATTTCATTGTCCTTTTTTTTTTCTTTACAGACAAAGATGCAAGTTAGCTCTCCTTTTCTGGAAACAATACATTCATCTTCACTGAAGTGATCCTTGAAGGATACCAACCTCACACGCCATTTAAATCTGCTCGATTGCACAAGACTAGTACAAAAGGCCTGAATAACAATTGCTTTGCCTTGTAGCGATTTGCTTTAAGGCATAGTGAAAGTGTGTCTGAAGGCTCGGATGCATTTGTCAATGGATACCCTTGGAATAGTGGATGATAGTGGGCATGGAATAGTAGACAACTATGACATAGGGAAAGGAGCAGGGTCAAGCAGTGGAGGCAGGGTCCACAGTATTGATGTCATATTAGGATTCACTAAAGACCAGGAGCCACTTCTCCATTCAGTAGGAGGTGATGACAGCTCAAAAGCCAATGGAGCAAACCATCAGGACCCGGAAAAGCAGGTCCCCTCAGACCCCTACGGGCATCTGCCAGACCTTGGTGACAGCTCTCAGCATTCCTCCTACCATGGTGAGTCTTTTCAGGAAATACACTATTACCAAGCACGAGAAATCAGATCTGATTGCACCATTCTTATAGTAGATTCAAAAGAGTGTGTCTTTAATTTAGCCACAACCTGCTGGCAGTATTACAGCAATATTAAAAAATAAAGTCTATGCTCCTAAAGCAGTTTCAGATGTGTGGGACAAACCTGTAGTCATGGCATTGAACACTGTTTGCTTCGTGATGACAGGCGGATATGCTGAGAAAGATCCCGTTATGGTGTAACTAAACAAGAAAACAAAAAACAAATTCTCCCTGTGCCTAAAGTGCCATAGAATTTACGGATAATTAGGGTTTCACCAAAGTGTGGAATCCCATTTGAACATTATAGGTCCAAGCACATTTTTCTAATGATTCAATGCATTGACAGAGGAAAAACATGAATTCAGTGACCTGTTGAAATTCAAATGAGATCAAACTGTGCTGTTTACAATTTCACACATTTCAGTTGGACAGGGCCCTGTGTGTTTGGGTATCTGGTTGTTGTAAATGGACGCTTACTGGCACAACCTAATGAAAGGAAGCCTGTTTTAATGCAATTACTTACATCCATGCTTCTCTTGCTATGTCGATAGGGAGAAAGGTGCATTCTGCAACTTTTTCTTTTAAAATTCCTTGGTTACTTGGTAACAATGGAAACAAATCTCTGCTGGTGGATTAGAACACATGTTTTTGGAAAACACTTTTACTAAGTAACTGCTGGGTCTGCTTGAAAACGGGACTCTCACAAGCCACTTAAATGTATCTGTTGACTGTTACCGGGCCTGACTACTAATCAGCCACAATAAATACACCAAAGGAGGGTTTTCAATCGTAGTTTCTTTAGATTTGAATAACTCTTGTTTGACAGGAGCTTGAAAAATAAACCCATCGAGATTTAAATGTTTTATATATAACCTATACTGTAATATACTTTGTAATATACTTATTCTTGCAAACATAAAAACAATAATTGTTTGCTAAATGAATAGGCGAGACAACAGTATAATTGATTTGGTTCTGCACACTTATCTCCATCTATTCGTCTATCTAACAATTTTAACTCACTCTTTGAGAATGCCCGTGCTTGTTGTGGCTACAGTTGCTCTGCACAAAATGTGCAAATGAATCTGATGGAGAGTAATTATTCAGATGGTTATTGTAATGTGAACTACTGTTTATGCTTAAAAGATGAAAACAGAGGGGCAGAGTTGCTGAAAACTTTATGGCGGCAGAGCAGGCCTGTCTCAAAAAGTAGAAACGTTTCGCTCTCAGGATTTATTTCAAATTTTGGTGTTTGTCGGTTTTATTGTGAATGTTTCATAAATCAGTGTTTTCCTCAACTATACATAGTGCTAGTGATAGTTTTTGGTGCTTATTGGTAAAAAAAAAAATGCAATGAGAACTGATGTCAGGTCAAAACTGAGATAGGTCTCATAAGGTATCACAAAACTCAATATATCTTGGATTAAACTTGGAACAGCCATGCTTCCTCTGCATTGAATATATATTCAAAACCAATAATCTGGAGACCACATTGCTGTAAATCATTTAGTGTGTATAGTGAGCTTTGGTGCATCACTCACATGGCTCAGTTGCTCTTTATCCATTTCCAAGAAATGGCTAAAGAACAGTGAGTGTTCACTCAGCTTGGTTGGCAGCCACCTGAAGTCTCATGTTAGATTAGACACAGGGACTTGCAGGTTTAGCTGGTGACATCTGTTTCTATGGGATTACTGGAAGGAAAAAATTCAGTGAAAGACATAGTGTCAGTAGGCTTTCTTCAATCTTTCAATTTAAATGTTAGTGCACTGCTAACAAGGCAGAGTATTTTGGAAAAAAGGTGGAGAGACTTTAAGCCAAAAGCACATAGGAATTCATGTTTTTAACCCTAAAAAGGTTTTATCCCTTTCCAATTTTTTACATCAAACGAATGTTGCCAACTTGGTGCACTCCTGGTTTTAAATGTTTAAAATGTCCTTACCAAGCTACTCTACCAGCTGCTGATACCCATACTCTCCTGTCAGTGCCTTTATTCCATGTGGACCCGAAAATGTTTCAAAATGTCATCTTTAACGTTTCAGAATCTAACATCTTTTCCGGTGACAAGTGTGATGGAGAAATGAACTCTCTGCACAAGGACGTGGACATTGAAGAGGGCTCTCCCAAGTCTATCAAAGAGGAAGAGCACACAAAAAAGAAACATAGAAGAAATCGCACCACTTTCACCACCTATCAGCTTCATGAGCTGGAACGAGCCTTTGAGAAGTCCCACTACCCGGATGTCTACAGTCGTGAGGAGTTGGCGATGAAGGTCAACTTGCCAGAAGTTCGCGTTCAGGTAAAGATTTGAACAAAACGAAAGTATAGCTAATGTGCTAGAACAATACCGTATGGAAAAAACTCACCAAAATCTTTAAAGGGGTTCCCCTTTAACTAATTGAAACTTAACCTCCTGATGACATTACTGTGATTCTGCACCTATAATTTGTAACAGCAGTCAAGGGGATGTCCTTCTAAAAGGCCTGGCCTTCTGTCTTGTAGAATATGGCTTCCCTGGGGTTCTTTGAGAATTTAGATGTTCTGTGCCTTTAACCTTTCTATATCTTAAATTGGGGTCATCATGTAATTTCTACCATTATCACTGACTTAATCAATACAACAATTCAAGTGGGAGTGATTTTTTTTTTGCTCATTCAAATACATTAACAGATAGATTCAGTGACATAAAAACAAACTAAATACATTTCATGATATTTTTCTCTGCCCAGGTGTGGTTCCAGAATCGAAGAGCAAAGTGGAGACGTCAAGAAAAGATGGACACCAGCACCATGAAGCTCCATGACTCTCCCATGTTGTCATTCAACCGCCCCCCAATGCCTCCTACTGTGGGGCCAGTAGCCAACCCAATGCCACTGGATCCCTGGCTTACCTCACCCATTTCCAGTGCCACACCCATGCACACCATTCCAGGGTTCATGGGTTCACCGCAGGCCCTCCAGCCCACTTATTCAAGCCACAGCTTCCTCAACACCCCGCCTGGCATGGTTCAAGGTATGCAGCCCATGGGCCCGCCTCCATACCAGTGTCCGCCCAGCTTCAATGATAAATACCCAGTGGAGGACGACAGGAGTTCCAGCATTGCAGCACTCAGGATGAAGGCCAAAGAGCACATTCAGTCAATGGATAAGACCTGGCAACACATGTGATATCAAACCTTAGTGTGGATGGATTTTTTTGATGTGCCCCGTGAATGTTTACAAAGTGCTTTTACACCGTTTGAGGCTTGTACCAAGAAAGGGGATACATGATACCAAAGAAGCTTTAAAGTCAGATATTTTCACTGTCACTACTGTGAAACAGTGTTTTCAGTTTTTATTGAACCACAAAAGGAACTGATTCAGTCAGTCGGAATCCTGTGCTTTAGTTTAGCTCAACATGTTTTGGTACCTTTTGAAAGGCAAAGAGACTGATGTGAGATTGTTTGTTCTGCAATAAGTTTCTATATCTGATGGTATTTCAGATCATATTGACATCTTAATAAAAGTTATAGCAAGGCTATGTAGAGCCATCGTGTCAGAGCTAGCTATGTTTTTTTTCCTTTTTTAAAAATGATTATTGTTTTCATTATATGGTTTCAACAGGTATCAACCAATTTATGCAAGTTTGCTATCTTGAATTTATGGTGTTTTGATTTTTTTTATGCTGGTAAAATACTTTATTACTTACTAAAAAAAAACTGTAATTAACTCTGTCTTTATGTCCCAGGATATCAGATTCCCTAAGCACTCCTGAAGTGTTAATTTTTTATTGATTGATAATCTCCAATGCATCCTGCTTTGCAGGTATTGGTATTTAGTTTAAGTTCTTCACATTTTTAGTATTACTTTGAGTTGCTTGAAAAGGTTTATCTTATGTGTCTCTTTAGATAGGATCTCTTTGGGTACATCTTTATCCATTTTATTGTTTCACAATGAAATAATACTCAGTGATTTTTTTTAAGTATATTTTATTTGTGACAAAGTGGGAAAAAATCATGCATTTAAAACCACATATCCACAAAGATTTAATCTGAAATGGGTTTAAAGGGAATCATTTTGTTTTATTTCCAAGTGGTAAAATATCCTTTTGAAGAGCACTGAGCTCTGATGGGGGAGGTTAGCGGAAGTCACAAAGCGTAATCTGATTGGGAAGCTAATTTAAACAGACAAGCATACCTCTTAACACCTAATTACTGCTTTAAAAGCGATTAACCCTGGATTCTCAGCCATAGACAGAATGCCCTTAGATAGCCCTTAAAAACCGTACTGTCTACCCCACAAAAAGAAAAAAAGTCAACTCATATCATTTTCAATTTCCATCTAGAAAACTCTTCTGTCAATAGGGTTTCATATTATGAAATTGTGAGTTATTTTAACCCCTGTGGTGAAATTTATGGCAAATATAATATTTCAGGGCCACTGGTTTAGAAAAGTGTCACCACAACTTATTGAAATGTGCTAATGAGATAATTATGTCTTGGTGAATACCTACTGAACATCCTTCTTGATTGCACTGATCCCTGTTCTTGTATATTGTCTCATCTCATTGAAACTTTTGCTTGATAAAGCTGATTCATTGACCATATTTGCATATTGTGTCAGTGTCTGCATTACTAACAGATGTTTTTTTTTTTTTTTTTTACAATTGACAATACTGTGCATAGCTGAGCATCACTCAGTAAACTACTGGGTACCCCGACACTACAAGGTTTTATGTTTTTTTTGTGTCGCAGCATTAAATCTCAATGCTCTTTAAAAATGAATGGGTTAAAGGTGAAGGTACCTGGATTTCATTTGTGCTGGGTTGTCCAAAATGAAGAGAAAAATGTTAAACATTGAGTTCTTCCTCCCAGCGTTACTGCAAAAGAGAAGATTATATAAGAAGATGAAAATTGCCAGTCATAGCACCAGTGGGCAGAGCTATAAAAAAAAAACATTGTTTTTGGCCAAACAGCCAAATTAATGACATTTAGTCTTAGTGCAAACCTCAGCCCATTTATACCCAAAAACATGTATATTTGATTCAGAAGAAAGACCAGATCTACAGTCAAACTACTCGACGTGGAGTCATTTCTGTGGAGGTATGCTGATAAAACTTGCACAAGACAAAGAAAAGTGACATTTCTCCCATTCTGTTCCTATTGAAGCTCCACACAACGTGAGTTTCATGCAGAGATGCTTAACATAAAACTGAATCCAGGGATAAGAACGTCACAAAGCTTCTTACATAACCTTCCTTCTATCTGTAAAAATAGTCCTGTCATTCGAATATGTGTTATAAATATATATCTAAAGGCAACATTGAGTATTCAATGCCTTAAGGCAAGTTTGGGTGGCTTCACGTTAGCCATGTTTTAAATTGAGACACCGTAGATTTTGTTGTTTTGATTCCATGTAGTGACAGCAATGAGCAAAAAAGCCAAAAGAATGAGAGGTAAAATAGATTTCTTAAAAGAGCACACAAAAATGTTTTTTTAATCAGTTTTCATCAGCATTATGTACACTTTTTTAATAGTCCTTAAATGTTTTCAGTATGACTTTAATTTTCACTCATGAAAGAACACAGAATAAATTCACAGAACACTAATGTACAAGCACTTTGATTGTGAGCCTTGTTTTTCTTTCCACAAATCCATTAGACTAGAGCCACCAACATGACTTTGTGCTGTTAATGAGCACTGGTGTACAATAGGCCCATGTAAGCTATGGCGGTGCGAGCTGGCCTGATGGCAGCCTGTTGTGTTTGTCCAGACCTGTGGACATTTGCCAGGCCGTTAGGCAGATGAAGCTCCACTCCATCAGGCCCAACCATGGGTGTCAGGGGCCCCAGCCTGCTAGCCTATCGAGGCCACAAGGGCTAAGCTGTAATTGCCCTCTAGTAGCCCGTGTGGCTAAAGTGTCCCACTTTATTGTGGTATGAGCGATTTTGGTTTACTTTGCATCCAAGAACTTTGCATCTGTGCAATTGTGTGTAAACAGACTCAACATGTAGTGCATTGTTGGAATAAAACCTAGTACAATTAAATGCAAAGCATTGTTCACAGGAGCAAGAAAGTTTTGATCAGAAAACATATTTGGCAGCTTCCAGTTGGTGGCAGGAACATTTATTAGATGCATGACACTATGCACATAATAAAGATGCGTCTGTGTCTCTGCCCTGCTGTTGGCTTGGGTTTTACTATGCGACGAGGTGAAAAACACTCATATCATTTACATGCCTCACTTGTTCAACGTAAAATTGTTTAACTTTGCTATATTCAGTCAAAATCGTTTCCCACTGCTCCTTTGTCAGTAGGATTTCATGTAGCAACACCCAGAATTTGCTCATGGCGTACTCAAATTTAACAATTAATTAGACACATTATGATGTAATCTTGCTTGACCAAGCATGACCTTCACTGGGGCACAGGCTCTAGTTAACAGGCTGACTAGCGGGACATGGTCCATGGTGGAAATAATAAGGGAAAAGAGCGGAATTAATTGGGTTTGATTAAGAACACTTTTCAAAGGGACACCATTTCCACCTCTTGACATAATTGCAGATCACTCAGAGGGTGGGGGGGATTTGATGACTGGCGCCAGTTGCTCGTCTTCACCCCAGTGTTCAGTTAGATAAAAAGGACGTGTCACTCAAACAACACTCCTGTTCTTTCTTTACACACGCTACAGGCTTAATTCTGCGTTAATTGGATGCACTCCATGTAACTCATTTTGACAATTCCTTAAAAATAAAAAAAAGTCAACACATGGACACAACTCCACAAACTAAGTTGAACTCAAAGAGTAAGTCTGTATTCAAAGGATCCAAACTTGCTTTGTGTCATACAAATTAGACAATAAACAACTCATACTAAAGGTAATAACAAGTCAGTGAGCAGCCAATATCGATCATGAGGGAAAACAAACATCTGCTTTGAGTTTTCGGTCCTGAATCATTGACGTCTTCGGTGGTCAGCCAGAATATTTCGCTTGCTGTTACTTCATTTTAGGCACTGTTCATATGGAATGACTAATATGTCAGGCCACACTCAATGTTGAATTACCATGAATTAAAAATATCATCCTTTATGGGGTTATTTTTGTATCAGAGCTCTCCCCCTTAGGGCCACATCTAATATTTAATGGTCTAGCGAGCCTTCTTTTTTTTATTTCAAAGCTGCAGACCACCAAGTGAACTGAACTTATCTAGAAAAAAAGGCAACATAAAATAATTATCAATTGAGCTTATTACCACTGCTGGACCACATCACCCACAAACCTGAGGAAAAAAAAATAGCGACATCTAAAGGCTGTTGTGATAAATGCATTTCATATCAGCCCTAAAACGTCAGCTTTGAAGGAAATAATTTCCCTCTCAAATGCTTAAAATTGGACGTTTCAGTAATTCATCGTTTTCGTTATCATTTTTTGTAAATTATCAATATCATCAATAGTAGTTTTCACAGTTCATGAATAAAAAATGTCTGGTGTTACAATAACATTCGTTTTAAGATAAATGATTAAGAATCTCTGTTCTTACCAACTTGTAGAGTATTTTTTTATATATTTTTTTCCAGCGGCTCCAGTTTCCAACTTTTTGTTTTTCTTTATACTTCAAGCGAAACATGCCACAACTGACCTTTCAGCCCTCACTCGGGTTTATCCCTTTAGTTTATTTAATTCATTTGAGTTTGGTGCCCTCTGCCGGACAATCGAAGTAATAGCACGTCGAAAACGTGGATTAAACGTCGACTGATCCAGGATCAGGTCGTGGAGGGCAGCGTGTGTTTCGTGGTCTACTCTGATTGGTCCAGACATGCAGTGCCGTTGTCCAATAGCAGGTAGACATCTGTTCGCTGGAGCGACTCTAAAATATTCCCCTCGCTTCCTTCTTCTCCACCTTTTCGCTTCCTCGACTCGGCGACGGAACTGTGGGCTGCAGAGAGCGGAGCTGAAATCGGCAGAAAAGATGCAGATCTTGGGTCTAGTCGGGGTCATTCTTGCGTTGTACTGTGTACATGCAAAGGTTTACTTTCGGGAGGAATTCGTGGACGGTGGTAAGTCAGAGATGTACACTCATTTCTTTTTACTTTGTCTTTGAACCAATATTTGGACCAGAACTGTCACCTACTGTTTCTCCTTTAATCCACTGTTCAAGGATAAAGTACGCTTTGAATCGAAACCGCCACCCTTTTTTAAAATGTTTAAACCGGAAAGGAATTTTTAATGTCTTAATTTCTGCAGGGCGTTAGGCTTGCTAACGTTATTTCGTTATCACTAACGTTATAAAGAGTGACCCAAGTGGCCGTGTAACGTAAAACCGACCCCCACTCCTGTTAATGCCTTCACAGCTGTCTATCGGGCAGACATTTTGCCTCAAAAGTTCCGAGATGTAAGGCCATGGGTTCTTAAAGCGTGTCATGTGCCGTAATGTCCGCAAACCTGAAGGTTATCTTCTGTTCAGATGGATGGAAAAGTCGCTGGATAAGCTCCAAACACAAATCTGACTATGGAGAGTGGAAACTGACGGCTGGCAACTTCTATGGAGATGCTGAGAAAGACAAAGGTAAGACTTACAGTTACAGCTCATAGATCACATTATTTTACAGAAAAGATCACTTGCCGTCATTAACTGCCCATGATTACTATATTTATTGTGTATAGATCATATAGAGCCACTGTGATTTATTTGAATAGGGAGTCCATGTGTAGAATTACATTAAAGTGAAACAGAAAGTCGGCATTTTGCATACAGACTCGACCCTTTTTCATATTTGCTGATCACACAACTCATTAGCACCTTCACAGTTTGGACTCGGTAATGTTTTCCTTTTTAACCGACCCTTTTGTGTATTCAGTTTTAAGATCTTCTGGGTCTTTGGTGCTTGGTTTACTCAGCAGTTCATGTGTGTATCTCCCCTCAGGTCTGCAGACAAGCCAAGATGCTCGCTTCTACGCTTCCTCTGCCCGTTTTGAGCCTTTCAGCAACGAGGGGAAGCCTCTGGTCATTCAGTTTACAGTGAAGCACGAGCAGAAGATTGACTGTGGTGGCGGCTACGTGAAGGTCTTCCCTGCTGACTTGGACCAGGCTGACATGCATGGAGATTCTACCTACTACATCATGTTTGGTAAGAGATGGCCGCCATTTTACGGCTCAGTAAATACTTACAGTCGTGAATTATATTTCAAATTGAATTAATCCATCCTAGGCCCCGACATCTGTGGCTACAGCACCAAGAAAGTCCACGTCATCTTTAATTACAAGGGCAAGAACCACCTGATCAAGAAAGAGGTCAAGTGCAAGGTAGGGCTGTTGTTTTGAGATTTGCATATTCTGAACCCTTTATCCTGCTTTGCTTTTGTGGCTCAAACATAAGTGTTGTCTCATCTTCTAGGATGATGAGCTCACCCACCTCTACACACTGATCCTGAACCCAGATCAGACCTATGAGGTAAAGATTGACAATGAGAAGGTAGAATCTGGCACCCTGGAGGAGGATTGGGACTTCCTGCCTCCCAAGAAAATTAAGGACCCCGAAGCCAAGAAGCCAGAGGACTGGGATGATCGTCCCAAGATCGACGACGCTGATGACACAAAACCAGAGGTGAATGAGCATAGTGCAATCACCCCGTTATTCGTGTGCTGTTACATATTAGTCACCTCACAGTTTAAGGCTTGTTAACTTCAATCTATTAACTCTGTTGTTATTTATCAGGACTGGGACAAGCCCGAAAACATTCCAGATCCTGATGCTAAGAAGCCTGAAGACTGGGATGAGGATATGGATGGAGAGTGGGAACCACCTATGATCCCCAACCCTGAGTACAAAGTAGGCCTCATTTAAATGATCGTAGATTGGACTTTAGCTTTGAACGAGCTGTAACAGATTTTGACTAATAAAATGCTGCCTGCGTTACAGGGCGAATGGAAACCTAAACAGATCGATAACCCCGACTACAAAGGACCCTGGGTGCATCCTGAAATCGACAATCCTGAGTACAGCGCTGATTCAAACATCTACAAGTTTGACAACATCGGTGTTCTAGGTCTCGATCTCTGGCAGGTGAGAGAAAGATCCTCTGTGGGGAGTGATGTTATCAAAGCGCTGACACTTTTAAAAACAGCCTAACCATTTGAACCTGTTTCACAGGTGAAATCTGGTACAATCTTTGACAACTTCGTGATCACTGACGATGTGAAAGAAGCAGAAGACATTGGGAAGGAGACTTGGGGCGTGACAAAGGTATGCTGGGGGTAGTTTTTTTCTTTTTTTTTTTTTTCTTCCCTTTATCAAGAATAAAAACCAGTACCTGTAATGGCTGAACACATTTAAAAGGAGTGGTTTGGGATTGCCCTGATTTCCCTTGCAGGAGCCAGAAAAGAAAATGAAACAGGAGCAGGATGACTTAAAACGAAAGGAGGAAGAGGAGAAGAACAAAGAACAAGGTACCGAGGGGGATGACGAGGATGGTGATGAGGACGGCGAAGAGGTGGATGACGACGACGGTCTTGACGAAGACAATGAAGACATAGAGGAAGCACTTTCTGAGAGTGATGATGAGGAAGCAAAAGCTAAAGATGAGCTTTGATTTGGTTGTTTTTCCCACCCCTTCCACAGAAACTGTCCTGTAATTTCCAGGGGTATTCTGGCTGCTGTGCATCCTTTCCCTGAGATTTGGACATTCATGGGGTCTCTTGAAAACAGGGGCACGGGGTTGTTAATGAACTTTGTGTCTTTTTCTCTTGTCATGTTCCCCTTGAACTGCTGGATTGATTCTGTGGTGTTTTCTTTTTTTTTTTTTTTTTTTTTTTTTTTTTTTCCACCAGGAAAACCCATTCCTCATCTTTAAGTTAGCACTGTCATCCACTGTTCTCTTTATCTTTACGTGTCCCTCCTCTTGCAGATGTTTTGGTGGGTTGTTGTCCAGTGTATTTTAAAATTCACGAACAACTGTGTGAAGCAATCATTCTAATTTTAACTTAATAGTTAAAAGAAAAAATACCTAAGGGATTGTAACTTATTTTGTTTGTTTCTGTGGCACTGACTTTCCTTTCCACACTCTTGAAGGCTAAATTAAATTAAATGTTGAAACATGACTGAATCCTACTTCAATTGAAAATGAGTTGTTATTTGCAATTGAAACAGAAGGAATTCAACATGTGTTCATGTTAATGTGATGGGATCTGCAATATACCCAAAAGTCTGGAGCAACAGATTGTGAGCCCCCCCGGTGTGACCCATGCAAGGGTCCCGCTTATTTTTACTGGACAGAATGTTATTGATACCAAAGTTTTTATTAAAAGATTACTCTACCTTATGGTCTGGTTTTATTTTGCACAGCCTAAGTGGACACTTAGTATAAAGGCAAATCGCCTGAAGCTGCACAAGCTGCCTCTAGAAGATGGTTTGAAAAGGTCTGTTGTAGGTTGAAATAAAAGTTGTTGTTTTTTTTACATTGGAGTGTACCCATGGAGACTTGAGGCTCTTTAAAACCTATAGTATATTCAAACCAGTTCCTGTAACATAGAGGTTACACCTCTTTTGAAACCTTGTGTGTGTGCTGAATTGCATATGCAAACTTTGAAATCAGATCAGATTTGTCCCATCTCCACAGTACACTGACTACACATAGCAGTTTAGTCTTATGCCCCTGGGAGTTATCAGTGCCTGCTAGTGGTAATAATTAACATTTAATGTATGTCAGTTATTGTTTGTCTTTTGTTAAGTATGATATCTTACAACAGAAAATAAATGTAAGCATCTTCATTTTATTTGGATGCACTAAATTATGAAGTGAATACAGTCTTATTTGTATAGACATTCTCTTGACATGTGAAAAGGCTTTGAAAATTTGAGATAAGGCGAATTAGGTCTGATGGATTGTCATAACAGTTGTAAAAGTGTGTGATAAGTGTCAGGCAATGCCAGAGGCCTCCTCAGACCAGCAGTTCCCTCCCCTCTATCATAAACTGTCATTTGGGAATATCAGTGAGAGAAGGAAAACATAACTGATTATACTTTATTCACATGAGCGTGCAACTATCTTGAGTCAAAAGAAATTCAGAAGATATTTATTTCTAATTCTAAGAATTAAAAAGCATTTCACTCAACCATCATAACATGCTGGAATCTGATCCTGCACCTAAATTCACACAGTGTCTGAGATATATTTACAAAACCGCCAAATCATGCCTTTATTGATACATTTTTATCCTTTACAAACTAGATGTTATACTTCAAGAACGTATTGGGAGATTTTCGGTGACCCGTGGGTTTATCTAGGTGGTATGCATCATGAACAATCGGTCTTGGGGTTTTGAATGACCTGGCAATGGGGCAACATCTAGAAAGAGAACGCACCAGCTTATCACATTTATCACCTTATTATGTAAATCTATGAAAAATAAAATGGAAGTATCTCGACATAATTAGTTCCAGAGGAACTCCCGGAGGTCACCGCGCACGCTTCCGGAGGCGTGGACTCCCCCAGCCCTGAGCTCCGTCCCCTCCCGGGGCGCGTGCACAGTGCGCGCTCCCGAGACACCAGGAAATATGGCGGCGCTCATGACTTCCAGTCAGGTAAGAACTTCCAATCCCGCAATAAAAGTAAAAAATAGGGTACGTGTGGTTTCCGAGCGACTGTGACATTCGTTATAAGGCCTCGCCAAATGGCGTCATTATAAGTTAAGAGAATATCAGTCAGGAGAAACGTTCCGGATAAGCCACCGTCGGCTGAGTTAACATGGTTAGCTAGGGTTAGTAGAGATGATAAAGTTGTAGGTTTTAATGTAGGAAAGGAGGAAGGAAAAGAAGAAATGTTGAAATTTTAAAAAGTCGCTGTATTTTGAAAGCAAAGCTATTTAAATAGAAGCCAAAAAACCTAACGAAATTCATTTTGGTAAGCCAATCGTTACCACTTGAAGGTTGTTTTCCTCGCCCTTAATTGGGCGTTTGATTAACCGTAAGCTAACTAAACATTTCTGCATTTCTACGAACTAATTATTATTTGTATGTTGTAGTTGACACCCAAATTTGTTTGTTTTGTCTTCCCCCTCTTGTTTTGTGTGTAGTTATCAAATGGAAACGCAGCTTATGAAAACTACTACAGACAGGTAAGGATGGTATTGACAGTGACACCAGCTGTTTGTTTTTTTAGTCCCGTCACCGGTGTCCCTTGAGAGACTTTTGTTTATTTATTTCCTTTTTGTTTTCGTAGCTGGATCCTGGAAACACAGGCAAAATATCAGCTGGCGATGCAGCCCAGTTTCTGAAGAAGTCTGGACTCTCAGACAGTACACTGGGAAAAGTGGGTGACAAAACTCATCTACGTATACTGGAAAAGTGCACTCATGTGCTTAGTGAAAACGCCTTTTAATTTTTCATTGAATGTTTTCAGATTTGGGATCTGGCAGATTCAGACAGAAAAGGCTACTTGGATAAGCGGGTAACATTGAATTTCCCCCGATATCTGCTGATGTTGGTGGTGCTGATGTGTGCAAAAACGCTAGACTTGCCTCGCTTTCTTCCTCTTTCGTAGGGTTTCTTCATTGCTCTGAGACTGGTGGCGTCAGCACAGGGTGGAAATGATATCAGTCTCAACAACCTCAATCAAAGCTTAGCTGCACCAAGCTTTGTGAGTTCTTGAATAACTCTTGCCAGCAACTATATACTTGTGCTTTTTAAGACAACGAGAAATTAAGAAATTGACTGAATTCATACAATGCTTACTCTTTTTGTTAATGTTTTATCTGCCTTTTCCTTTCACAGAGGGATACTAACAGTCCGTTGTTAAGTGTGTCAACAACAGTGTCCGATTCTCAGTGGGCAATTAGGGTGAGTCTGTCTGGATTTTTTAGGAATATTATGATACATAATGAGAAAAGAGGCTTGTCACTGAAACCGTTTTTCTCCTTTCAGCCTGATGAAAAAGGGAAATTTGAGGGAATATTCGAGAGTCTCTCTCCTGTTAAAGGTCTCCTCTCGGGTGATAAAGTCAGGCCCGTTTTGATCAACTCCAAGCTACCTCTGGATGTGTTGGGAAAGGTGATCTTACACACAAATACAGTGCTGTTTTGTATTAAACCATCTTAAAACAAGTACACGTCGATTTATGTCACGTTGTTTTTTTCTGTTTTTTTAGATTTGGGATCTAAGTGATGTCGACAAAGATGGACACTTGGATAAAGAAGAATTCACAGTGGTAAATTTAAGCATTTTAATCTAGCCACCTTAACAAATAAATACAAGGTAGACAATATACTGTATTGATGAATTTTGAAATTTTGATTTCCATTTTTTCTAGGCCATGCATCTTGTGTATCGTGCCATGGAGAAAGAGCCTGTACCGAGCAGTTTACCAGCTTCGCTCATTCCACCCTCAAAAAGGAAAAAATCTGGGATTGCACTTCCAGGTGCCATAGCTGTGTTACCCACTCTCTCTGGTCTTCCATCTGGAACAGCTCCTCTCATAGAGACCCTGCGAAGCACTCCTCCTCTGGGGATTACTCCCATAAGCACCAGTGCTGTCAACCTTTCTCCAAAGCACTCATTTAAATCCAGTTCAGTGGTATGTCACCTCACATTGCTACCATCACCAGTACTAAAGTATTTATTATTAATGCATCCATGCATTTATTAATCTTATTGGACATAAAAAGAAGCCAAAAAAAACAAAGGTACCTTTTCAATATTTTTTTCCTGCTAACATATACCAAGTATGAAATATAATAAGCTTGTGGAAATTTTAATTTGGATCTATTAAAAAAAGCTCTTATTAGCGTTTTCTTAACATTTGCTGATATAAACTAAAAAAGTATGTAAAAAAAATTCAACACAATTTCATTTTTAATTTACACTCAAATCTCTCTGTTTGAAATATATTTCAGTTCAATTTATATTTCACAGTTGAACTGTGTCCTGAAATTGTAAAGAATCAGTATTTTTTAAATGTTTGGCCTGCTTACTAAAAAGTAAAAAAAAAAAAAAAAGTAGTTTGTGAAACACAAAAAATCCTGAGAAATGTATATATACGTGTATTCTTCTTGCTCCACCTTTATTACTAGTATCACTAGAGCTTAATGGAGTTTTGGAGAGAGTAGGATTTCATGTATCCACTCTCTTCTGTCGCTGTTGGGAGGACTTGTTTTACCACATTGTTTGGAGCATTGTGAACGGGCCTGTGTGTTTCTGTCTACTTTGGTATGGCTGCAGGGATTTTTCACCCGTGACTCTTTGAGAAACAGGTTTCCTTGAAAGGGAATGGAGGAAATGCTGTTAACATTCCTCAACAAGTTTGTTATCAAAATAGTTAGGACTCACCTCAAATGTCAAGAGAAATAACTGAAAGTATTTTAATTTAATGTAAATCTTAAATTTATTTTTAAAAAGTAAAGAGAAAAAAATTTGCTTTGGGTTTTATGTGACGTAGATTAGATGAGGCTACAAAATATTGGAAGTTGTGTGTTTCCTTTTGTAGGACAAATAGAGCTTTAAAAAATATATTTTAGGGAACATTCCTCTTTGACTTTCTGAATAATTTCTCTCCCCAGTGTATATTTTTTGTTACTTTTCATTAAAAAAAAAGAGGTTCGTCAATACTATATTTTGTTCATTATGTCTGCCATAACGGTATTACCATCAGAGAGGTCAAAATCTGGCCCTCGCGGGCTGCTGTCCTGCAGGTTTTTCCTTTTTTCTGCTTCTACACACGAGATCAGTGCACCATTAGCAAGCCTGTGCTTGCTATTGGTGCTTCACAATCTTTTTAATAGATCCATTTTAATTCGAATTAGGTGTTTGACACTGGTGATTTCTAATTGTGTCCTACCATTTATTGACAAGTTTGTCAGAATTCTACTAAATTAAATGTAAGAACACCTCCTGTGGTGTTAAGAAGCCAATGTTGTAATAATTATGTAATTTTATGGTATATGTAAGAAGGATTATGGGTATGTAGGGATAGTTGTCGCTATGGTCTCCAATCACAAGCTGTCTTGCCTTTCCTCCAGCCAACGATAAACTGGGTGGTACCCGTGGCCGACAGAGAGAAATATGATGAACTTTTCAAGAAAACGGACATGGACAACGACGGGCTGGTTACAGGGAGCGAGGTCATTGAAATCTTCATGCACTCCACTCTCTCTCAGACAATGCTGGCCCAGATATGGTGAGAGCACTTATTAAATGAAGTTATAGATGCTTTATCTTTTTGTAATCAACGCTGTCATGGGATATTTTACATTAGTGACAGGAAAGGTTACACTTCAGACACAATCACTCAGGAAATTCTTTCCTCAGTTTAACAACACAAGGACTGTACAGCAGTTTAGAGTTAGAATTCTTTTGAGCCAAAAAAGCACAGTTTATATGAAAGTGTTGAAGAGACATCAAATTAAAGCCAGAAGTAAGCAGCATTCAATCCTGTGTTATATTGTTACTACTCAGATGTCACCCAGATTTACAAGATCCACGACAGGTATCCCAATCATCAGACTACTGAATGGGTGAACATCATAGTAGCAGATATCCAAGAAAGACACCCAAGCCTGAAGACCCCCATTCAACTTCCCCCATCATGTAAGGCAGGTCCTAAAATGCCAGCTGATGGGAAGCTCTTCACAATGTGTGTAGGGTTTCATCCAGGCTCAATACCCTGAGATTGTGTGCTAAGTGGAAAGATAGACGCTAGAAGCTGCTGCTGCATCAGATCCATTATCCATAACAGAACGACAAGAAATTTGAGGAAGATGCTCCCCATTGGTCAACTGCTAAGTGAGTGTGTCAGGCATCTGAAATCCAGAGGGAGAGATAAAGAAGAAGGAGGAGGCACTATCATTAAAGGCTGAAGGGCTAAACTGACTTTGACTTGACTCTTTCCACAGGGGACTTGCTGACACGAAACAGACAGGAAAGCTGAGCCGGGAACAGTTTTCTCTGGCCATGCATCTAATCCAGCAAAAGGTCACAAAAGACATAGACCCTCCCTCCACTCTCACTTCAGACATGATCCCTCCATCAGAGAGGACGACAACAACAACATCAGGCCTTGTGAGTCCTGACTTAATTTTCCAACAGCTGTTTCAATTTATATTCTTCCTTTCTTGCCAAATCAAATGTGTCACCGTTATCTCCCCTTCACTCTGACATTTTTCTGCTACTGTATGCGTTATCAACTCTGCTTTCTAGCTTTCTGGTGCTGTGCAAAACCTTTTTATGCTTCCTCTGTTTTTGGACTTTCCTCTACTCGGTACGGCAGAGCTATTTGGGGCTTCTCTCCTCTATGAGACCTGAACTTGCTTCTACAGCTAGTGTGCGCAGAGTAAGTAGCTACATGTTGTGTCACAAGATGGCGCTGTTGTTCCATCACAGGCTTTGTATCAGTTGGGTGGTAACAGGAGCACACAGCTCAACTTAGCCAGCATGGCCACCTGACACACCTGCTCATGTCTAGTAAACAGTATATTTATTAACTTAGAGTTTATATTTTTTAAAATAGGTGTTGTTGAATTGTTTATGGGTAAAAATCATTGATAGGATAAAGACATTGATCAACATCTCACTGGCTTTTTATCACTGGGAAAATGAAAGCATATTTTATCTTGTCTTTTGATGATATTAGCAAAGTTTCAGCTGGATCCTTGACAGATTTATATAAGCCAATGATCTCAAAGAAAGAAAAAAAGCAACATTAATGAGCTACAACTGAAACCTCAACACTGCTGCATACCTGTCTTCAGTCAAGAGATTTGTTAAGCATTATTTTACATTCATAACTAATTGACAGGCATTGTAGTCTTGTTCTGACACTGCTTGGAACACCTACAATTATAAATGTTTCTATTGGGTTATTTACGCCCTGTTCAATGCTGTAAGTCTAAAGGCACTGTAGTACAAAAGTCTTGTATCTTCTTGCCTGCCTGTATTTCTTGTCATTCATGTATTGCCTCCTTCTCAAGCTGTGCAGTGTCTTTGTATTTCCTTCCTGTGACTTGTTTTCTTAGAAACAACAGCAGGGAGCTCCTCTCTTCCCCTGCATGGGGCACACCCCCCACCTCTCTCTAAAAACATATCAGAATAATTCCCTACATGTGTTTATCCACATCCATTCAAACTTTTACTCAGTTGCCCCAACTGTGGCCAGTCACATGTCTCTGTCCCGTCTTCACCTGTCGCCGTCATGTGATCCGGCATACAGCATTTCCTTTTCCATCTCTCTCACACTCATCTATCCCAACGTCTCTCGCCTCAGGACAGCGCCAGCTCCACGGGGTCAGTGGAGCTCACGGGTATCAAAGAGCTGGATGACCTCGGCCAGGAAATAGCTCAGCTGCAGAGGTGAGCCTCTGCGCCCTGTTCAGCTTTGTTTCTCCTCCTCCGAGAACAAAAAGGGGAGGTTACAGTAAAGTTTTTTTTTTAAGAATCGTACCACCGGACACTTGTCTGTCAAGTAGTTTGTTGCATTTGTTTGATTTCAGCTTCTTACCATATTTGATCAAAGTCTTTATTCTTTCGGTGTGTTAAATGTGCTGTAGGTGACTTTTCAATGTTATTAGACAACCAGTAATTATCTAACTATTAACTTTTAACCTTTTTATTCTTTGTAGAGAGAAATTCATCCTGGAGCAAGAGATTAGGGAAAAGGAGGAAGCTATTAGACAAAAGAACAGTGATGTTCAGGTAAGGCGGAGCCAAAGGAATTCTCAAGTAATTCCTCAAATCTTAAAGCACTCGTTAAGTAGTTATTAATGTATCAACAGGAGTCCATCAGCTCAGCAGAAGCCCAGAAACAAACTTTATTTTACATTATTGAGCCGTACAGAGATGAAATATCCCCATAGATGTTTACAATCATTTGTGCTCTTTTTTCTGTTCTTTTGGGCCACAGGACATGCAGAATGACTTGGACAGGGAAAGCGGCAGCCTGCAGGATCTGGACTCCCAAAAGCAGGATGCCCAGGAACGTCTGGAGGAGATGGACCAGCAGCGCTCCAAGCTGGAGGGAATGCTAAATGACGTAAAGCAGAAGTGTCAGGAGGAGACCCAGATGGTTAGAAATGAGACATTTTAAAGCATTATGCAAATATTAAAAAAGGAACCGTTACTGTACTTCGGGATTCACTTCTGACGGTCTTAAAATGCAGCTTAATGGGTTTTTTTAAGGGATTAAAAAAAAAGTTTTCTTAGAAGGAGATTGAAGTATCGTGCCACAAGTCAGAGGTTATCTGCGGTTAATATTTTTAAGTGCGTGAACACACAGTTTAAATACTCAACATAAAATTGATCAGAGCCTGTTTAGTTGGACATAAGTTTACTTAACAGTAAATGTAATTACGTCTTCCAGAGAAGAAATTTAGAATATTTTTGCTGCAGTAGTTTCAATCAACAACTAAATGGAGAATGTTAAGTATGTAAATATACAAGACCATGCTACAGTTTAACCAGAAAATTCTGCATTTGTACTCTTGTCGTCTAGATTTCATCCCTGCAGACCCAGATCCGCTCTCAAGAGACTGACCTCCGCGGTCAGGAGGATGAACTGAGTCGCACCAGGGCGGACTTCAGTCGGCTGCAGGAGGAGGAGGCCCAGCTGGAGCAAAGATTGCTCTCTGGTCGTGTCCAGCTGGACAGCATTGTGAAGTCACTCAAAACCACCCAGGAGGAGATCAACCAGGTCAGCGCATACAGTGAAACCACCCATGTTATGAGGATGGTGTACCTCTTTTTTTATACTTTCTCTTTTGTTTTCAACCCACTATACATGAATATAACTGGAATACATTACATGCTAAATTAAAACAATGTCTGACAAAGCAAGTTAAATTACTTCTGTTTTAAGGAGCTTTTAAAAAAAACAACTGTTAGAGGGGAATTCATCATAGAATGTATTTGTGCACACAAATATTAAAATGTAAACATGCACTTCAAGTTAGGAAGTGAGGTTTTACAATCTGACAAATTCAAACTAAAACGCAAAAGAAAGCACAATCAATATGTTGTATCTGATACAAATTTGACATTTTGTCATTAGGCTCGCAGTAAGCTATCGCTGATCCAAGACAGCCAGAAAGAAATGACGAAGGTCATTGATCAGTACAACCGTGCTTTGAGCGACATCAACAGCGGAAACCTCAGCAACCTGCCTGACTTAAGCGAGGGCTTTTCTGAGAAGGAGAACGGTGGTTTCAGAAGTGTGGTGAGGAACCCGTTGATAGAGAAATCTTGATTGAAAACTCAAAGAACTTCCATTCTCAGTTGGCTGAACAACCTGTTTATTTGTTGTTGGATGTGTATTTTCTGTGGTGGTACATCAGGACGACTCCATCAAGTCAAAGATAGCCATGTTCAACAACAGTGGTGCCAAGGAGCCTCCAGCAGACCCCTTCCAGACAGAGGACCCCTTCAAGTCTGACCTCCTTAAAGGTCTGAATATTTGCCTATTATTAGTTTATGTCCTAAGTTTTTTTTTTCCAGCTGTCTCAGGTGTTGCTTTCTTTCCACCACCAGCTCCAATTTTGCTTCCCCCGAAAGTTTTTTTGTGTCTAGATGACAAGTTTTCCCTGTTTTTCTAGATCCATTTGGAGGAGATCCTTTCAAAGAAAGTGATCCCTTCAAAGGTAGCTCATCTGAAGACTTCTTTAAGAAGACTGACAAGTCGGACTTGTTTGGATCTGCAGACCCTTTTAGCAGAAAACCCACACCGCCAGTCAAGGTTTGACAGCTTTAGAGTGCTAATCAGACTCCTTTTACTTGCACTTGAAATGCATGAGTCGAAGCGCTTTTGTAAAAGTTAAACCGCAGAGATTCAGGGTTTATTTTAAACGTCTTTTCAATTTGGCACCGATTGTGTTTGTGCTTCTTTTTTCAACTCAGCCAAGTTCCCTCGGCAGCAGTGACCCGTTTGCGTCGAACAGCTCAAAGCCAGGTACAGACACATCGTTACACAGACGTCATCAGATGTCACTACAAGTAGAGCTTTTATCCCAGGTCTTTGTGTTCCTAAATATTATGCCAGAGGAGTTAGTTGTTTGTTATCCATACATTGTTTTAGTCCCAAGATGGGATAACACAGCAGCAACCTAGACGGGGACATTTTGTCACATTTCTTGTCACATAAAAAGTTCACACACATGGTCACCCCAGTCCCCATAAAAGGCAGTTCCCATGCTAGTTTCCTGGAATATTACTGACTTCTGAACATAGATGATCACTGTTGTTATGAGACCCTTCTCAAAGAGTCATTCTTAGCTGCTCCAGGTGACGTGTTAGATTTACATTTTATTTTTGGGCGGTGGGCGGGGGTATTGGGGGGGGCAAACAATTTTTACGCACTGTGGCTTCAATTTTTCCTGTGGCCTGGAGCTATTTTTAGTCGAGCCCCTACGCATTTAACTTTGGGCCAACTAAAAATACTCCCCCAACCCTGGAAAAACAGGAGGCCTGCAGGAGCCAAACATAACAGAAAGTCTGTGACTGCTGGTCCTTCACTACAAGAATACACTGCCACTCCTTTAACCAGTTCACTCCTGCCCCTGTCTGCTCATCATATCCCCTGCTATCGAAGCCGTGCGCCTCTTTTGCTTCGGAAGTTGTTTTAAGTTGGTGGCTGCAGCTGGTCGGTGCTCTGCGGTGCTGCACACGCGTTAGAGGAACACAGGAGGCGACTGTAGAAATGAGCAGAGTTGCCGTGTGAAACTGAATGTGCTGTATTATGCACATGAATAGGGCCTTTTGTGGTTACACACTCAACAAACATATTCTCTTTCAGTGTTTTGTTTTTTCACTCCATCCATCTGCAGTTTCCAGGGTTCTTATTTTTATTTTTATTAACCGTACCGCTCGGCTTCAAAACAGCCAAGGCACAGTTCTGGATAACTGACGCCTTTAATTAGCCGATCAGATGCACATGTCAGGTTTAACAAAACTTCTGCTTCACAGGTTTTTGTCAGGGAAAATTTAACGGTCATGCCACATTCCCTTCTCTGAAAATAGAACGAAGGCCTTTTAAGAATAAGCGAGATGCAGAGATGATTTTGAATGTGTGGTTTGAGGCTGCAGTTCATTCTAGTTTCTGGCTCTTTCCATGCATGTGTTCAGATGTTCCAAAAGCATTTCAATGACTCTTGTCACAGATTTGTTTGGGAAAGCGGACCCCTTTGGAAGCAACTCCTTTGGAGGCAGGGCTAGTGGATTTGCTGACTTCAGTCATATGTCAAAGGTAAGCTCTAGGGACTCCTTTAGTCATGAATCAGTTTTACCATAAAGCAGTATTTTCCACTGAAACTTTACGTTGAAGCTGAGCAGTTAAATGCTTTTATGTCATGTTGTTATGTATTACACTCACCTGGAATTGGTTCTTATTTTTCTTCCAATTTATCAGAAACTTTACTATGAATGTTGACTGTTTTTTTTTCACCCCTTCTGTCAGCAGAAGCAAGACCATCCTGTGATTCCCTCAAAGAAAAATGTACCCAACCGGCCAGCACCTCCCTATGGTAAAATCTGAATTCTGTGTATGTGTGTTCTTGAAACTGACTGCACGTGAATCTTGCTGATACGTTAACAGTTTTGCTACTGTAGCTTGCCACAAACACAAAAAGATCATGACAAAGTAGTGAATGTCACTCATTTTGACTGAATGTTTAAAAAAAAAAGATGTTCATTACTTTAATGGCATGCATCCGTTAGCTGAATGGCTTATAAGATTGCAAAGATGATCCTTTTTTCCATCAGTATTGTAAACAACAAACCTTTTTGCACAGATATGACCCTTCTATCGATACCAATTTAAATCACTATGGTCTAGATTTCAATTAATTGTCAAAACAAATTATGTTATGTTAGGTAAATACGTCTAAAGGGAGATGAGAATACGAACTTGTTTCTCGACATTTCTATTTATTTTAGTTTTGAGTTTGTTTTTTTGTGTGCAAGTGAAGTCACAAAACACCTTCGAACCATTCCCAGGCCATGCCCTTCCGTTGTGACCTTGCACTTATTTTTTAAGCAGAAGCCGCAGCCTGAGAAAGTTGGTGTTCCCCTTTGCTTTGCTACACAGAACAGGGTAGTGATGAGTTGCCACGGTTTGCCAGCAAGCTTCTTCTGAACATGTGTGCCTCACATTTAAAGGGGAAGTGAGAAGCCAACTTCTGAAGCCATGAGATGCTCTGAATATTTGTTTTGCAACGGTAGTTGCACAACCTTTTTTTTTTTCTTTTTTTTGGGGAGTAATTTAGCTGTTCAGGCACATTGTGCATCACATAATTTGTTTCCAAATGAGATATAGGTTTGATTTGGTAAAATATCTGATTGGAGAAATAATGTGCATGTGGGAGTTTAGCTCCCTAAATTTGCAGTGGCAGCCTGTGCTGCATGGGTACATGCAGAGTTCAAAAGATCAAAATGAACCGTGTAAATAAGGGAAAACAGACTATGGGAAATGTATTTGCAGCTTACAGTAGACTTGGGTGTGTCCGTTTTCACGAATATGTGTTCCAAAAAAGCATGCCTGTGTAAGTTCAAGCTTCAGTGCATCAGCAAGCTCTACTCAGAAATGTGGTTAACACCTTTTTTTGAACCATTATCGCTTTCCCATGGGTGACTAGTTTGTGTGCCCCAAGCTTAAAGCGGTTGGCTTCCTGTGAACATTTACAGGCACCATATTACACATGAGCCTTCAAACTGAGTTTTTTTTTTTTCCCCAAGGGGCTCCCAGTTGTTGGCATCTCAAGTGAAGACTAAAATGTTGATTTCTCTGTCATTTGGTATTTGCTCATGTGAATGTTTATCTTCTCCAGTAGGTATGCTCAGTTTGAGTGCATCAGAGCCGCTCCAGGGCGTTTGCTCCGCTGCAGTCAGTAAAGACTCTTTTGTTACGACACAGTCGAGTAAAGCATCCAAAGACTGTCCTGTGGGTTTTGCAGATTTTGGTTCTGTAAGTGTAGTCCGCTTACAGGCCTCTTTTGGGTCAAGTATCTGTGCATGAGCTTTCGATTTCAAGATCTCCCTCCTCAGACTCATGGCTCAGAAGTGTTATCTTTGTGTCACTGGACGTCATTCTGTTCATTTACCTCAAACGGCGAGCGCTCACAGGGTCGCTGTGTTTTCTGGCTGTTGACTAACAACTGACAGAACATCCAGGAGCTTTGCTGTCAGCTTGGTTCAGAAGGCGATCAGATGTTTGCATGACTGACTTGTACAGTCCTGGCGCTTATCTCCACTTGGTCACATGTTCCATCCGTCCTCTTGGCAAAAGGCCTTGCATGCTTGTTGCCATCGTTGGCTTTGGTTTTTGACAGGAAGTGTGGATTTATAAACTTTCATTTAAAAGGTAGTGAACTTGCCTGCTCAGGTATTGCTTGGGGAGCATTTTTTCCAAGTCATGAAGTGCAAGGGGTACAAGCTAAAGGCTTAATTGCTGTCAAAGCATGATGTGCCTCCGAGCAGAGCACGGCAGAGTAAATCTGCCTCTTTGTCTCATGTCTTCCGCTTCCTCACCATCTTGTATAGCCTAACCGCCAAGCATGGTCTCAGGTGGAGAGATGATGCATGGCAGCTTTTTGTTTGATTTGACATGACATGCATTTATTTTATCCCTCATGCCAGCATGTTTGTTGTGTAAGGGATTTGTGGTTTTTATATCGAGCTTTGTGTTGTAATTTTTGTTTTTCTGCCAGGATCTGAGCATGTGAAGGTAAGACTGTGTCAGGGTGTGGTGGTCAGCCCTTTGCATGTGAAAAGCCTTTCTCTACTGCATAGAGTTTGATGATTCATGCGCACGTTTATTATCTATAAATATCCTCGGTCACATTGATCGACACCCACAATGTGGGAAACGTGACTTGTCATTTTTGGCTGTAGCCCTAGCTCTGCGAATTGTGAAAATCCTCTTTGTAGCTTTCAGTCTTGCTATTTTTGCTTGTTTTCCTTCAGCAAAGTGAAACCTTGATTTGTATTTGCATATGTTGTTGCTTTAGATCTGTTCTGATCATTTTCTTTTTACAAGTTGATGTCATTTCTGGCATTCCGCTTACTTAGAAGCCCTTCTACTCGCGCTTTTGTCCAGTTTTTTGTCTGTTTCTGTGTTGCTGCTGGAACCTCTAGCCACAGGCGCATTCTCGCTTTTGTTTGGCCAGATCTAACAGATTTTTCTCTGCTCTAGTTTGGAAGTGAGAGCCAGCAGCTGGAGTGGGCCAAACGGGAGAGCGAGCGTGAGGAGCAGGAGAGGCTGCGGAGGCTGCGGCTCCAGGAGCAGCAGGACCTGGAGCTGGCCATCGCTCTCAGCAAGGCCGAGCAGGCCAACACCTGATCGGGCACTCCCTGCTGCAGCTTCTTGCCCCCTCCTGTCTTCCTTACAGTCCTCCCTGTGCAGGCTCATGACATCAGCACTGACACTCGCCCTACGTGACTAACAGCCTCTGATTCCAGTATGTTCCCACTTATGACTGGACTCATGCCAAATGACTCAATATTCACCTACAGGTTACAAATCATTGTTCCTAAACTACATGGAAACTAAAATCAGGGAGAATTCAGAGCAACCGGACTGCAGCTTGGCTTCCCTTTACAAGAACACAGTTTTAAGAGCAGAGTGACTCCACTAATCAGCTCAGTTTGGCGATCCCTTTAAGATTATTTTACAGCTTATTTCTTCACAAAAGCAGGAATCAGAGGTGTATTAAGTAGCCTGACATGAAGATTGTTTTGTATAATCTTTCATAACTTGGAAAAGTTCCTTTTAAAAGACTAACACTATTTTGCCAACCTCTCTGTTGGTCTGTAGAGAACTTTTTCAGACTTCTATAAATACAACCAAACTTCTGCTGATGGACTGTGATAAAGTGATCAGATCAACAACAGCACGGTTAAGGCTTCTATTTCAAATGTTACAAGTGTTTCTAGTTATTTATGCCTCCATATCCACTATTTATGGCATTTAAAGTGCATGTTTAGAAGAAATATTGGACTATAACCAGGGCCACTGACATGCTAGTGATAATCATTGAAGTCTTCCTTTACAATGAAAAAAAACTTGACAACTGGGAGCAGTTCGCACCCGTCTGATGTCAGCAGGCTGTGCGCTCACATGGTTCATCACTGGTTGCCTTGTCCTTACACTCGGAGTTCCTACACTCCCGAAAACTGAAGTCCTCCATGAAGAAAAAAAGGGTAAACCTGCGTTGTTTTTACTGACTGTTACGTTTAACCCACTGCTCCATAACTTTTGTACTATTCTTCAGACTACCAGAGCTGCACAGCCCTGTTTGCTTTTGTGTCAACAACAAAATCTGCTAGATAATGAATACTATTTTTCCTGTGGAATTGCTTTTCATTCATACCTTTCATACATGGAGGAAGTTCCTTCAAATGCCTTAAAATATTGCATTCCTGCCAGTTTGCAAAACCAATTGGGTTCATTTGGCACATAATGCACACACAGTATATTCCATCCAAGACGTATAAAGAGTAAGAGCGCCTTATTTATCAACATATCAACACTGTAACGTAACATTGCATAGTGTATGTAATTATTAAAAAAGAAAAGAAACCTTGGTTCTGATTTCCTCAAGGCGGTGACAACATTTACTTGAAAAAAAGTGACTTTAAATTTTTCAGGAGAGAGGTAAGTGTGTTTCTGTAATGTTAAAACCATCAGAGTAATAGGACAGTAAGTTTAAAGATTGAACGCATAAGTGATTGATGAACACATACAGCCTTTTGGGGAGATATGAACATCAGTCAACACTGCAATGAATTTTAAGAAGCACCTGGTAAAGAGTTGTCCCCCTGCTTCTTTTATATTACTGGTGAAGATGCTTCAATAATGTTTGCGAACAATGGATTTATACATCGATATTGTAACCAAAAAAAGTGAAATGAAAGTGATACATTTGCATCTTCTGGAGCGGCTATTTTTGACCGGGTGTACAGTTCCTCTTTTCTTTTTTTTTTCTTATAATATTCTAAATTCTGGTTAGTGGTTGAAACATTTCACATGCATTTGGCTGTTTATTGTTACAGGTTAATCTAAGACATGAGAACACTGTAACTGACATCCCTCCCCGCCTTTAAAGCTGTGGTTTTGCAGAGTAGAGATTTTAAATGATCCTGAGAGCAATATTCTATCTTTTCAAAAATGTCATCTGGCTTTGATACTCGTACTCAATGCAGTCTTTCATAGGGGGATACGAATGCCCACTGACATCGGACAGATATTATAGGCACAGACTTGGATACTTTGAAACTGTAGTGCAGGGTGACTGTGTGTAATTGTAGTATTAAGGCCCTTTGATGTCCTACTATAATTTCTACCCATCAGAAAGGGAGTCTAAGGGCTCCCTGATGAGGGCTTGCTGTGCCCCTCTGTCCAGACGGCTCCTGGCTCACTCTGTAATTATGGAAATGGAGTGTTTGTATTTATAGGCTAAGCCCACAAGCGACTGCCCTTCTCTGCAGCTGCAAAACATCACTGTGGCAATCAAACGCTTGTGTTCTAGAAGTCTGCCTCGACAATTGCAAGATGTATCCAGTGTAACAACTGATGGGTTAAAGGTTTGCTGCACCCATAAGGGTTGTGAAACCTTTGTTGTGTGGGTGGATGTGGTTAATCAAAATGTGTGAACGAGGTGTACCAGGGATGAGTAAGACTGCAGAAAAAAAAACGAGTTGCCCCAGTCAAAGGTTCAAATCCATTTCTTTTAATATTTACAATAAATACACATTTTACAGTATAAAATCCATGTACTTACTTATAAATTTAAGTAAAAAATAATGCACAGGACATCAAGCCCTGATAGTGTACAGAGGGGCTGGATCCAAGAGTTTCACACCAAGAAGGCATCGGAAATAAAACAGTAAAGGCAGTTCAGACACTGAGGCAGTTTAAGTAAAACATTGTCTCTGCACAAGTTTGGCAAGTGAGTGTGCATTTTTACCCCTGTCAAAAAGAACATGTACATCTTTTTTCCCTCATTTTTTTTTTTCGACCACGTTCTTTCACAAAGAGTTTTACAGTAGCACAGTCGTAGAAAGGCACTTTTGTGTCAAACACAGCATTCCAGTTCTGTCAGAGAAGAGTAGTATATATACAGGGCCAGCCCCTTCTTGGTCTGCCTGCTCTTAAGCAAACAAAATTTTTCTAAAGCTTTTATACAACAAAAGTAGTACCAGCTACGTTATTAGAAAATAATAACACTAAAACTTTTTCAATTCAATATTACATAAAAAGAATTTGGCCACATGGAGAGCATTTTAAATATTAAAAAAACAAAAAAAAAACAGTTTAATCCAAATAATACAATCCCTCTGTGAATCCCAAGTCCTCAGGCGGGCACTTTCACATGTGTCTCTTCATGTGGAGTGCCAAATGGTCAGACCTGGAGAAGGCACGCTCACACAGGTGGCACTGGAACGGCCTGTGCCCGGTGTGTTTACGGAAATGACGGGTCAGCTCATCGGAGCGGGCGAATTTCCACCCACACCCTTCCCAGCTGCAGTGGTATGGCTTTTCACCTGCGAGGACACACAAAAATCAAGAATTATTAGCATGAGCTCATAGAAAAACATGACTTGGAGAACAGTGCGTAATTGCGCACGGCTTTTTGTGGAGAGCAGGAGCTGAAACCTACCGGTATGGGTTCGGAGATGTGCCTTCAGGTGGGAGCTCTTGGTGTAGGTCTTCCCGCAGCCGGCGAAAGTACAGGTGTGCGTGGCAGTGCGCTTCCGTGGCCACGTGCGGCGACCTCTTTTGGGTTTCGACTCCAACAGCTCGAGGGGAGACGAGGGGGGTGTGAGCATCACCCTCTGCGCGACGGGCTGCAGGCCGAGCCCTTCGTCATACATGCCGAAGCCAGTGTGCGGAGCGTGGTAGGGCATCTGCATCTGGGGGGCCTGCGCGTGATGCTGGAAAGCCGCCGCCGCCGCGTGGTACTTCTGCTGGAAATTCATAGACTGGCACATCTGCGCCTGGCAGTCCGTGGCTCCCTGGTCATCAGGGCTCAGAGGCGGGGTCATGCTGCTGGCCGCCCGCGGGGAGATGGCCAGACGTGGCTGCTCGAAGGACATCATGCACGACACGCTGCCTTCTTGCTTGATTTTGCTGCAACTCTGGGGCACCATGCCCAAAACGGGACCGTAGCTGTCCATGGGGGGCTCGACTTTGATGTTGTCCGGGCGGGGGAAGTGCGTGGTGTTGACGTAAAATCTTCCCTGGACGCCCGGGTTGCGCGTAATGCCAAAGCTGGCGGTGCCCTCGGAGCGGAGCAGCTCCGTCATGAGGCTGGCGCCGTACGGGGGTGGCGGGGAGCGCTGGTCGTCTGCCGGGTACGGTGGCACGGAGTTTCCACTTGTGTACATGCTGGGGTCAGCGGCGCCCACGTATTCCGCCGTGCTGTCCGTGCCAGTGGTGTTGGAGAGAATAAAATCCAGATCCAAATAATTACTCAGATCCTCGTCGTCCTTTTTGCTGTGATTGTCCAGGCTGTGTACCATTTCAAGCATGGAACAACTGGTCGAGACTAATTTGTCCATATCTCCTTTCCACCTCTGCGGGGAGAAATGAACATCAAGACTTGGTTAATACAAAGTTACTTAAAACAATCAAATCATCCATACGTGTTTTTAAAAAGCCTATTATTTTGCGTCTAATGTTTTACTTTAACTAAAGAACAAAGAGTAAATGCTCAAAACTATCTCTGAGAAATTCTCTTACAACTTAAAGTCATCAGCGCGCATGAACTCTCAACATCTGAAAACTTTCTGGATCATTTGTTACTTACATTTTCCCAGGTTTTCTCTCTCTGGTTGGAGAATGTCGAAAAAGACGGTAGCATCACTCCGGATAAGGCCATCGTCGGGTGAAATAATCAAACTCTATATCTCTTGTCAAAATCGCGTCGAAACAGAGCGGCAGCCGCAGCAGGATCCGTGCGCTCAGTTCACGGTCGCCCACAGCTCTCCACAGCCGCGCTCCCAATACATGAACAAGTTTAAAAGTGGTAGGAGGTCCTCTCAAGCTTATAACTCTGCAAGCCGAGTGCGCCTGGCCAATTGTGAGAGCTCAGGAAACAACGTAAATTTCGGTAAATTTAGCTCTTTATAAAGCCGTTCCTGCGGGCTGTCAGGCACAGTGCGCTCTCTGACAGGCAGGCCGGCGCAGAGCAGCCTATAAAGCGCAGGACCTCCCACAGGCTGACGCACTGCACGGGCCAGCCCACGTTTGAAGTCAATTTGCACGCATACTGGCGATACAGCGACCCATAAATACTTACGTAATATGTCGAAAAGAACAAGGCTGATGACAAAAAAAAAAAAATGCTGGAAGGCATGCCGCACCAACAGCTCAGTGTGACGGCTGTCAGTTGCTTTCACGTTTGTGATGGATTGGCCCGAGCAATTAGGATATTTTCTGGAATTTGGAGTAACGAGAAAGACTTGGAAAACATGAGCAATCATCTGGTGGCATGGAAACGCCTTAAAACACCAACCTAAACAGCTGATGCAACATTGTAGTTATATATATAGTTATATATAGCCTATATAACATACATCACGGTGTTTTATTTTTCTGAGGAAAACCTCGAAATCCTCGAATTGAAAACCTGTTCACAGTTGACGTTTATTAATGACAATTGAAGTAGCTGTTTGAATGTTTGAAATGAGTAGCTACAGTAAAAGGCAATTCATATAACGTAATGATGAGATAAAATGGCATTATAAAGCACTTAGATTCACCTATCTACGTGTTGCTCTATCCACCTGCTTGGCGCGCCTTGCTCCCGGCTCATTATCATTAATGGACGGTGGTTTTGTTCTTTCACAGCGGGCTTGTCCAAACAGGCGCCAGGCTGGTCTGAAACGACTTTAAGTGTTTTCTTTTTCTTTTTTCTTTTTCACGCTTCAACCTCTCGTGATGTAAACACGACTTAATGTAACGTTCTCTTCAGATGCAAATGCGGGACTTGTGGGGGGGCTTCAGTGTCGATTGGGGTCAAATTTACATCACAAACCAGCTTGGATGCTAGTTGGTGTTTCTGCAGAGAGATCTGGTCTCTTATGTATGATAGCGGAGTAGTTTTCTAAACAGGTTGAACAGTTTTACTCCAAAACTCCTGTCTTTGTCTTTCTTTCGCCTGACATTCATGCATGCTTTGTCTGTTGGTTCAAACTGTAAGTTGAAAACTTTAAAAAGCAAAGCAAGAGAAGACAAACAAAATGTGATACATACATATATATATGGACTATGTTGGACACAATACTTGGATATCTATCTATCTATCTATCTATCTATCTATCTATCTATCTATCTAT